TTAATAAACATGTGACTTGTTACAGGCGCCATGTGAGCAGTGATGTGGGGCAAAACGACAAGGAGGAGCGCCTTCGATACTTAAAGAAGAAACGCCAACATTACTCGGGGGGGGGGGGGGGGCGGGCAACATTACTTTTATTTTGAGGACGCCACCCACATTGTAAGGGGCGGCACTAACTTTAAAGGTAGACTGCCACCTTTTTTCCACAAAACGGTTTTCACTAGAGCTGAGCCACCTATGTCCCAGACTGAAGTCGGTTTTCCGAAATTCGAACCCGTTTGCGAGAAATCGGAGACCAAAGTTCAGTTTGATGCCATTTTTTTAGTCCAAGAAAACCGACATCTCTACTGTTTATCGATAACTTTGAAACATGAATTTTCTTATCTTTTGGTAAATATATGTCAAAACTTTGATTGTTTCGAGATCAGAGAAGAATTTTGTAGTGTCAAAATAAAAGTTAAACTTATATATTCAGTAGTTCATTTTTTCCAAAAAAGTGTGGGAAATGGGGTTTAACATGGGCCAGACCCATTCCAAATGAGCCATGATTTTTAAATGTTTTACGAACTTAAATGCAAAATAAATTAAACATGGCCAATTTCTTATGAAATCATATATAAGTGAATCATAAAATACCTTACTTTTTCAAATAAAATGTAATAATCTTATGACCTTGAAGTCTAGTGATGTGTAAACATTGTCGCTAGACATTAACCGATTGATAATTGTATGATAATCGACAATTTTTTTCGCGATTCACGTGATGATACTTTGTCAGGTGAATTCTAAAATTTTGTTTTGTCCAGGGAATAAATCATAGGCCGATCTGAGAAAACTTTTTGAAGGTGGCAGTCTTCCTTTAACACGCGCAGTGGAAGGGTTGCGAGTACTACGCCCAGTGGAAGGGGGGGGGGCGGATGTCGCCCCCCCCTAAGATCTCAGCTCCCACTGGAGCTAGAAAGACGAAATTTGGAGGGTAGGTGAAGGCCATGGGGAACTCTGTTGTATGTGAATTTCATGACCCTAGGTCAATATCTTCAAGGTCAAATGAGGTCAAATGTAGTCAAATCTGCCATATTTGCGACTTTTTTGCGTTTACACGCCGATAACTCAAAAAGTTAACGGCCGATGTTCTTTTTTCTTTCACTGTACGAAAGACCAAACATTTGTGAGTATGTATGGTGAATTTCAAGTTAATCCAACAATGAATATGGCAGTTTAGAGGGCTTCTAAGGGTAAGATGTCGCCGGCTGAAGCGGGATCGGCCGACGCGGGAAACGCGGCAATCACAATTTTGTGTTTACACACACATAACTCAAGTTGTTACCGGCCGATTTTCAAAATTCTTTGACCAAATGATTGCCTGTACATTTCCCAGTCTTCTTACCAAATTTGACGCGAATCTAATGTAATCAGCGGTAAGGAGCGCGATGGAAAGACGGAACCGTCCCGCCCCGGCACAGTCTACAATTCAGGCGGCGCGTAACGGCTAGCGCCGGCCGCCGCGCCGCCGCGCCGCCGCCGCGACAGGTTGTTTGACTTTACACCGCTATTACTAGAAACGTTGTGAACCGATTTTCTTATTTCTTGCACGGGAAGATCCGCAATTCAATTCTGGACAGGTAGTCAAAGTTTCACATTAATATTATGTTTGCGGCGCGAGTTATTGGCGAAAAACAGGAGGGGTGGGCGAAATCCGCCCCCCCCCCTTCCACTGCGCGTGTTAAGGAACGCCGCGGATACTTTTTAACCCTATTAGTGGCAGGCTCCTGGCTACGGGGCGGCTCCATCATATGGAGGGGCGCTACAGATCGTTAATGGGCGGCAATAGGTATGATATTCAGGGACTCCGATACTTCGAAGGGCGCCACCGTTTGTTTGAGGGTGACATCATCACTTTGAGGGGCACCACCGATACTGTTAGGGGCGCCACCGACACTATAAGGGGCGCCACCGGCACTGCCAGGAGCACTTTGACCGGCGTTACTATCACATTTAACCCTATTCCTGGCGGGGGGGGGGGCCTCAGGAGCCCCCCCCCTGAGGTTTTTTGGTTATTTCTCCCAAACGCGTTGAGCTAGGAAGCTCAAATTTTCTGACTTTTCCTATAAGGCTTCTACGCAACATGTCTGAAAATTTTGAGTTGATCTGACCTCAGGTCAGGTCACCAGAGGCGGTTTGGTGACCCTACCTCAGAAAAGTTTGCAATCACGCCAGAGCTAGAGTTTTTGACCGATCAATTTGTTCTCTTCAGGCTTTAGTTAGGGTACCAGTGTGTGCAATTTGTATATCTCGGAATTTTGATATCGGTGACCTAAGGTCAGGTCAGTTTCGCGACCTCCCCATTATAAGTCAATGGGGGAAAAATCAACTCCCTGTTTTTACCACTAAAACGGGTCGGAATGGCCCCATATACCATACATGACTTCATATACGATCAACCTTCACTACCTTGAGGTCTGTTTTGCTGTTGGGCAGCTGTGAGGTCATGTGACGTCATCAAAGGTCACCAAAGGTTTTTGGCCAATAACTCCGTACAGGAACAAGATACAGACGCGTGGATGGTCTCATTGTGTTCAGCTCGTCAAGACGCATCAAATGATATACATGATGACCTCGAGGTCACGTGACCTGAGGTCAACCTTTGACCTTGACCTTTCGAGGTCAACATATATATCATTCGATGCGGATTGACGAGAGGATCACGATGATGCCCTTAGTTTGTTCCTATCTTGACTAATTCGAAAGTTATTCGAGAAAAACTCTCTCCATATCTAGCGCCGCCATTTTGACTTTTTCGACCCCTGTGACGTCATCTTTGACCTGACCTGAAAATGACCTTTGTAAAAATTGTAGACCTTGTCCATGCGTATCCGATGCCGTTTACCGCTTGTCGCTATCTTGGTTCGTTCTCGAGATCTCAGGGGGGGGGGCCGAATCGGCCCCCCCGCCAGTTTCTTGTCCCGGCGGAGCCCGCCAGGAATAGGGTTAAGGGCGCCGTGAGCATTTGGGGGGCGGCACCATGACGTGGAGGGGCGTTACGGAAGGTTTGAGGGGCGGCATTCGGCAACATCATTGAGGAGCGCCTCCGACACTTCGAGGGACACCAACATTTCTTTGAGAGGCGGCACCTTGACTTTTGAGGAGACACCACCGACACTGTAAGGGGCGGCACCATCACTTTGAGGGGCGCCACGGATGGTTTGAGAAGCGGCACCATTATGTATATGGAGGGGCGCTACAGAAAGTTAGAGGGCGGCAACATTGTACCTATTGATGACTGATGAGTTTCTCCAAAACTTTGAAGGGCGCCACAGACACTTTGAGGGGCGGCACCAGCACTTTTAGGGGCGGCAGCATCATTTTGAGGGGCGCTACCGACTCGTTGACAGGAGACACCATCACATTTAGGGGCGCCACTGGCACTTTGAGGGAGGCACCATCACGTTGAGGGGCGCCACCGATACTGAAAGGGGCGGCATCATCTGCTTGAGGGGCAGCTCCATCACAATGAGGGGCTATGTGGATACCTAGAGGGGCGGCACCATTACATTGGTGGGTTCCTCTGACACTTCGAAGAGCGTCACTGACGCTATAAGGGGCGGCACTAACACTTAAGGGGCGGCAGCATCATTTTGAGGGGCGCCATCGACTCGTTAGCGGACAGCACCATCACATTCAGGGGCGGCATCATCTTCTTGAGGGGCGGCATCATCTGCTTGAGGGACGGCTCCATCACAATGAGGGGCTATGTGGATATCTAGAGGGGCGGCACCATTATATTGGTGGGCTCCTCCGACACTTCAAAGGGCGTCACTGACACTATTAGGGGCGGCGCCAACACTTTGAGGGGCGGCAGCATCATTTTGAGGGGCGCCACTGACTCGTTGGCGGGCAGCACCATCACATTCAGGGGCGCCACCCGGGCACTTTGAGGGCGGCACTATCACATTGAGGGGCGCCACCGATACTGAAAGGGGCGGCATCATCTTCTTGACGGGCGGTATCATCACATTGAGGGGCTCCACAGATGCTTAGAAGGGCGGCACCATTACATTGAGTGGGGCTACTAACAGATGTAGGGGCGGCACTGTCACATTGAGTTGCGGGATCATCACTTTCTATAGACGGTTGGTTCACTTTAAGAGGCGGCATTATCATTTTGGAGGGCAGTAGCCTCACTATGAATGACGGCACCTAGCCTGCATGTGCGTGCTGCATCCTAGAGGGGGCGGCAACTGGGTCGGCAAACGGCTGTCACTGGGTCGGCATTCTCCGTGACTGGGTCGGCAATTGCCGACCCAGTTAACATGTTAAAATACGCCCTGCGCCCCAGCCGGGCGCGGGTTAATACGTCACTGCACACCGTTTGCACCTCCCAGCACACGTCCGACCGCTCTTTAGTTTGCGACTCGGAATAACGGAATAGCGGAGTGAATATAAGGATCGAGAAATGGTTCTTTTGTCGACATTACTTTTTGTTACTTGTTGACGCTAACTCTCGCCCTTGCTTCCTATTTTTCGCTGTTCTCCTCCCCCTCCCTCTCTCTCTTCCACTCTCCCTTCTCTATCTAACGCTCTTCGCCCTCTATCTCTCGTCCCTCTTTGTATATCTCCGTCTCTACTCTCTCTAAATACATTTGTATCGCTATCTCTCTTCCCCTTCCCCTATTTCTTTCTTTCTTTCTTTCTTTCTTTCTTTCTTTCTTTCTTTCTTTCTTTCTTTCTTTCTTTCTTTCTTTCTTTCTTTCTTTCTTTCTTTCTTTCTTTCTTTCTTTCTTTCTTTCTTTCTTTCTTTCTTTCTTTCGTTCTTTCTTTCTTTCTTTCTTTCTTTCTTTCTTTCTTTCTTTCTTTCTTTCTTTCTTTCTTTCTTTCTTTCTTTCTTCCTCCTTTTCTCTCTTTCACTCTCTCTCTCTCTCTCTCTCTCTCTCTCTCTCTCTCTCTCTCTCTCTCTCTCTCTCTCTCTCTTTCGCCGACACCCGACCCCGTTGATGTATCGTTCGGCAGCGGACAGGCATGTGGATGACGCCAGGAGCGCTTCGACTCATCCCGAGCACCTCAGGACGGTGGTGAACGGGTAGCGCCGATCGCAGCAGCGTCAAGTGCCGAACGATTTGGCGCTCAGCCAGCTCGCGCAGGTATTGCTCTCGGCACGGTACATTGAGGAAGGCGCTGCGATGGGATAGCATTGTTGCCGTGTCGGGAACGGTTTAGTGAGCGGTTGCCGTGTCAGTCGAGGCCGGGACACAGCGGGGACAGCACCGGGAGGCGGAGACCCAGCCGGCCAGGAGAACCATCACGGACGTAAGGAGACCACCGGACCACACCGGACCACAACGCCAGACAACGGACCACCCGTTGGCTGGGCCTCCCCGAGTTGAAGTCCGGCAGAGGCACAACTGAGTGCTTCCCCTGTGTCTGTGACGGGGACTGACTAAACCGATCGGATGTTAGAAAAGGAAAAGTTTGGTTCAGTTAGTGCATATTACAGGTCATGTCATCTTAAACTCTGACAATTGGATTTCAATCAAATCATGGGCGTAGGAACCAGTGGCGGCGCCACGAATTTTCGCCAGTGGGGGCAAGCTTGAGGTGACCCGACTGTTGTCTGATACGCCAATCTGCAAAATCCATGAGCACCTTGCCCCTAGATGCTGTCATTCAAAATCATTATGGTTCTCATGTGACCCCGAATGACCTTTGGTTGACTTTGACACATGAAAAGTCCTTTGTGATGATTTCGTAGCCGCTGATCACGATTCTGGCATCCATTTTGCTCTAAGCATTCATTTAAGAGCCTCAGGATGGGAAAACATGTCTTAATTACTAGATGCCGGCAGCGCTCTTGCGTTGCCTTGGGCCAGAATTGGATGAACGGAACTGAGGGCACACTCCGGGCAAAACCACCGAAACCCAAACTGAGCTCGGACTGAACCTGAAACCAACCGAAACATCCCAAAAATGCTTGAAAGCACGTGAGATTGGTGTGGATATCTACAGGGTGTCCCATAAGTTCGTTTTCACCTAAATTTTACGTTTATAGGCTCTCTTGCTTAAAGGCACGCTGAAATTGGTTCGTAACTGAGCTTACGTGGTTGCCATGGCTGGTAGCAATATGCTCCACAGTAACTAATTTCTGTAGACAAAATAGCTTTTGCTAGAGAGCCCGCTTCCTACAGAGACGGCTAACGCCGCAACATAGAGGTCTGCGCTACGGGTAGGTCTTGGTATTTAGTCAGCACGTGACCATTCTCGACGATTAAGGGTGATTGAGGCCTACCAGTCTGTAGCCAATGTCCATCGCTAACTGGACGCACAGCCACCAAGTGACGCCGATGATTTGTCGGGAGTCAATCACGGTGAATGAAGATGAGTAGGAGAATGAGTGGGAGTAGGAGATATGCGACAGACGGTCCGAGAACGAACGTTTTGCTGATGCACTTGATACGGGGACCGTCAAAAACAGGGGTACTATTACACCTTTTTGCATTTGAATTCAACCATTCGCCATAACTGTTTGAGGAGCCATTTCGACAATCGGCATTGAGCACAACTATTCCGGCGTGGTGTGTTTCATTTCAGCCATTCAGCAAAACAGATTGAACACTGAAATGAGCGATCTGCAAAACAGTTTAACAGTTCGCCAGACTTCGGCATAGAGGGAGTCAGCTCGGCATATGACGACTAGTTTCGACCATTGACGATTTGTTTTGCACAATGTTGAACCATTCGTTCAATGTCGAGTTCTAGAGGAAGATCGCCGAATAGTTTTGCACAATGGTGATTCTTTGTGACCAACTGCCCATTTGTAGCGCCACGGCGAATGTGTACAAACGTTTTGCCCAATGGTCAAAAGCTAACGCAAAAAGGTGTACAACCGCGTATCATGAATGTTGCACTGCTCTTCTGTTCCTTTTTAACATCAGCCAAATTTTGTGGGGGCAAAAACATAGTCTTGCCCCCACGGCCTCCTGCCAGTGGGGGCAGTCTGCCCCCACTGCCCCCACGGTGGCGCCGCCCTTGGTAGGAACCTCGCGAAAAGTGTGTGAGTTGGGGGGGGGGGGGCAGCGAAACTTCAATTTCACTTTGTTGGAGCCCCAATACCCCTATGAAGAAATTCTTTGCAGTTTTGTGGTCATCTCACTTTGCTGAACCATGTCCTGCTCTTAGTTTTGTATTTGAATAAAAATAAAGATTTTACTTAAAAAATGGCTGAAAAGTGGGGTCCATGCCCCCCAGCCCCCCTGTTCCTACGCCTATGAAGCAAATAATTGACTTTTCTAGGACAGCGCATGTGAAAACACGACGGGCGCTAGCGACAAGCTATATAGTAACACTCCATGGCTCTGGTGAAGCAGACATCTTTTTTATGTTTTATTTTGCAATCTACCTTGATCGTCGGATACAAGTTATCGGTTGCTCTTGTGTAGGAGGCTGACGGAGTAAGCCATTATCAATGAATGAGACGTATTTTGTGTTTCAGTAAGGTTCCCGATCAGCCGCAGCCATGCCATCCACCAAGAAAGGGGTGAGTGTTCCGTTTGTGTCCTGATACTCTAGGCGTGTATTGGCGCAAAAATGCATGCATACATACATACATAGGCGAGCTGTAAAGACTCGCAGGAATCCGGGAAGATACTGCTCCGCTATACGTGGCTGATGTGCGGTACAGCCTAAGTAGAGCATTATAAGAGGGAGCCATGCACTGCTAACTAGTATGCCGCACACATTGCTCACAACAGGTAAAATCAACGCTCTGAAAATGCATCTATCAAACATCCTCCTTTCTCCGCCTCAAACGTTACGCGCGTTTGACATCCTGTTGTGATCAGTGGTCTGATATGACAGCCGATGACATGTACCGCATTGTTGGGATGACTCAGACATAGTAAAAATGGCAGCCCGTGCAGTCTATCGTCCCAGGGAGAAAACATGATGGACATAAAAGATGACCAGTACGCACAAATTTTAGTGGAGATGAAAGAAAGGGTAAAATGAGAGAAGAGCCCCCAAAGACGTTTGAATATTTTCTTATCATAAAAAACTGAAGATGACACTCCAATATTGGCATTACTTTGCTGGAAAGAAACAACACGCTGATGTCTACCTTTATATAAATATATGCTTATTGTTTATTAATATTCCAGTTGACTGATTTGACTCACCCCCGTCATTAACCCTCCCCAGGCGAGGGCCTTTTTCATAACACGAACGGCGAGGGGGGGGGGGGTTGGTACGACCCCCTATTGCCATTGGCTCCTACGGCACTTAGAATAGAAACGCCAAATTTACAGGATAGGCGGGCCCATAGGAGTTGTCGTCCTCGTAAAAATTTGGTGACTCTAAGCCAATATTAGGGGGGTTCAGGGGGGGGGGGGTATAAGTGCGCGAAATTCGCTAAGACATGCCAACAGTTTTTAGTTTATAACTTTTTAGCTAGTAAAGATAGAGCAAAAATAAAAGCACCAGTGAACTTCATCAAATCAAATATCATCAAATATCATCAAATATCAGTGAAATATTTTTTGTTGCGCACGTCTGTGCGCAACAAATGATATGCTTTGTTATCAATTTAAGCGAACTTAAAATTTTCTTAAAAATTAAGTGAACTTAAACTAATCAATTAAGTTTAAGTCAATCAAAATGCATCACATTGCATATAATTCGAATCACCTGATCACAAGGAACACAAGGGCAACACTTTTGAAGCTCTAGCCTCATTGTGTGCCAAATTATTAGCAAAAGCGCAGTTTGACCTTAGTTGACCTCAGTTGACCCGACCCAGGCGTTCTTGCAGCCTGCAAACACCAACTAGATGTAAATCGAGGTAGCACAATACCAAAACGTTAAAATAGAGCACAAATCTCTGATCTTTACACATTCGGGCAAATTTCATTAAAATTTGTGATGACCTCTAAATGACCTCAGGTCAACCGAATTTGAAAAAAAAAACTGGGATGCATATGATTGGCACTTGGTGAGCTTAGTATGTCCTGTACGTTTGAATCAATTCAATGAAGAACTCTAGTTTTATGAACGAAATTGTGCATTCTTAGTGCTATTCTGACAATGTACCGGTTTTTGTGACATTGTGACCTGACCTCAGGTCGCCTAAAACTTCTAGATCAAGTGACAAATAGATGCCCCAAGTCATGTCTGAAATTTGGTAGTGCTACGTGCCATAACACTCACGCTATGAACGAAAAACTCTGGCATTCAGTTGCCGCTAAGCTAGTCTAATTTTCCCCTGAACTTGTACCGGTTTTTGCGACCTGGTGACCTGACCTGAAAAGACTGAGACCTGAAGTTTTCAGGATAGGTACCAAAAGGCTGCCCCAGAGGGAACGCCAAATTTGACGGCGCCAGCGCCGCCGTTTTTACGTTATTTGTGAAAAACCTTAGAGGGGTTGCATCAACCCCTCAAGGAGGAGGGCCCCCCCTCCTCGCCGGGCGAGGGTTAATTACACCGGAAATGCACTGAAGTCGTGCCGCTGAGACGCAAGGTGATGTTCCCTCCAAAGAACGGAGGTCGTGACAGTCGAGGATATGCTCTACTTAAGGCAATGCTGTTTCGACTCTTCCTCGGACTAACGATGACAGCTGCCCAGTCAGACCTTAGTCAGCAAACGTCTATTGACAGTTTGCTTACACGTAAAATCTAAAACGGCGCACCGGCATAAAGTGACTTGGCTGCTGTATTTTACACACAAAAAAAATATCGTGATTCGTGTGCAATATTCTTTGGAGTAAAACTTATATGCTGGGTCAAGTATGAGACCTCACATACTCTGCCACCAGCGACAGGGATGATATTCCCGCAATTTTTCTATTTATGTCGATGGTCCTATGTGGATGATCCATAGAAGTGAGAACGCCGAAAAAGAGATTGCAAGATCTTTCAAGAATATAAGTGCAATGAAAGACTAGGATGGTTGGAAAGGAGCGTGGCCTCATACTCAAGACTAAGATAGAAGTTAACCAAAATACCTACTGAGGGCGTTCTAAGACAATGTAATTCTTGTACATAAGTCATCACATAAAATGTCCTTTTATTTTTAAGACTCCTTTTATTTTCAAACACCCTCTGTATCACACCAAAACGAAAAACTATTTACCTATTGAATCCCACATAGCAGTGAGCGATGGCAAGCGCTGATTATGGCACAATGCACAAAGCAGCATCGAGTGGCATCGACCGCCAGTGAGGCCCTGTGTAACATCATTCGAACATTGCCGTCCCCGATACCCTCCTTAGCCTTAGCTTTAACTTAGCCTTAGCCTTAGCCGAGCCGGCCTGACAGGGCCCCGGCCGCGCGGCGACCGTCCCGTTGCGTCAGCCGTCGTCTGAGCGGCCGAGGGAGCTGTTTGGTTTGGACCGGAGCGACGAAACGGTCTCAGCGGGACGCCAAAGAGAGCTGCTCCTTGGGGACCGCGCCTTGAAAACGACGCTGAATCACTGCGGCCGGGGTCAAATCTGGCCAGGTCGCCAGTCCGACTGCAGAGGCACGTATTTCGGTGTCAGCCAGGCGCCGTCACTGCCAGCTAGGTGTCACTTGGAAGGTGCCAGAACGAGTGTCATGAAGTGTTGGGTTTCTTCCAGGAATAACGATTTTATAAAGACTTATATACGATTTATATGTATAGACTGCTGGTCACCCGGCTGATCACATTTTCAATAAGCAACTAAACCGGATACTTTATTTTAAAACCCTCGCCGGACCTATTGGTTTTCTACATACGCGCCGGCCGAGGGGGGGGGGGGGGGGGTACGACCCCCCTCGCCGTTTCGCCCCTGGTGGAGCTAGCGCGTCGCAGAAAAAACGAGCGTGTGCGCCGTTACGAGACGCAGAGATTGGTACCCGATTTTAAGGTCCTAGGTCAACCGGTGACCTCTGAGGTCAGGTCAAGTGCCCCAAGGTACGGTTCAGTTTTTGGTGAATAACTTCGCCAAAAACGGCCGCAGAGCGCCGATTTTGGCAGCATCGTGTTCATCTCGCTCAGGCGCGTCGAATGATATACTTTTTGTCCGGGTCAGGTCAACTTGGGGTGTTGACCTCAGGTCAAGGTCAGGTCAGCACCCCCAGGTCACGAAGTTGGTCGAAAGAGGTCATGTCGCATATCATTCGATTCGTCAGGTCTTCCTGAGTCCATTGGTGGCTTTCCCGACTCGCTAGCTCAATTTGATCAAGAGTTATTGACGAAAAACTAATATGACCTTGATGACGTCATAAATGACGTCACGCAAGGTCAACATTGCAAAAGTGACGCATCTAACCTTGCAAGGAGTGCATCAAATCACGATTCTGTGTGCTTGAGATAGTTGGAGATCGTTCCCGGCGCCAGAATAGCAGTTTTCATTTTTCCCCATTGACTTATAATGGTGAGGTCACGAAAATGACCTGACCTCATATGACCTTTAGGAAAAATCTGAGATATACAAGTTGTGGGACTTATAATGGATACTAGATCCTGCAAGTTTCATTTCCCTGTGACATCTCCTCTGGCAGTGAGGGCGTTGCGAAGTTGCGACATCTGAAGACCGTGCAGAGGTTCACTTATGACGTCATAGGTCAGTGACCTGACCTGATCCAAAAATGCGGTTGGTGTCAAAAGATCCGGCTTGGATCAAAGGTCAGGTATGCCAAGTTTCAGCTCTCTATCGCCAGCGTGTTCGGAGCTATCGCGAAAAAACCCTATGGGGGGCGGCACCCGCCCCCCCCCCTCGGCCGGCGAGGGTTAAAACTAACTTAAAGCCATGAACCTATAGAGAGAGAATGCAGCTGCTTGCCCTTTAAATGAACAATATTTACAAATAAACGGTGGGGCGATAGAACAGCAAACCATCGAAGTACTTGTTTCTCTGGGCTAAAGGTGCTGGTGCATGCTTAAGAGAGCGTTTTTTGGAATTCATGTTTCTAAGTTCCTCGTCACCATTATGATGTTGCTTTTGACAAATGCACCAACCTTTAGTGCCCTGGCACCAACTAATCGTAAACGATCAATTTTCCTCTAATATACCTACCGCTTATCCTAGTCAAAGCAATGAGAAAATATAACTGATTAAGCGAACGGCTAGTAAGGCGCGTGTTAAATTTACCTCAGCAATGTGATAACTGATTACATCGAGAGTTACGTTGACCATCAGATTGTTAAACAGCATTTTATCGTATCTGAGTTTATTAATATCATTTCAGCAAATGTGCCCTTACTATCTCAGTGCCTTTACCTGCCTGCCAGAGAGCCCATCATCAACGCGATATTCCCACAATGCACGTACACTTGTCTGGAAACGACGTGACTATTTAGCCTTTGTGTAGTTACGTTACTACGCTTGTGTAATACACTAATATGCAAAGAAAATAATCCCGTTCCATTGCTAATTTACACGCACACATGGATGATGGAATATCCTTTACACGAACAATATCCACGAAGCTTGCACCGTGTTGACACGCTTTCCCATTCTCCACAGTCAAAGAAGTCCTCCAAGAAGCAGGGAAGCAGCGTCTTCTCCTCGTTCACGCAGCAGCAGGTAACCGAGTTCAAGGAGGGCTTCTCCATCATGGACGCCGACCGCGACGGCCTGCTGAACAAGTCGGACGTCCGAAACGCCTTCGACATCATCGGCAAGATCGTCTCCGAGAAGGACCTGGACGACATGTTGAACGACGCTCCGGGCCCCATCAGCTTCACCATGTTCGTCAACATGTTCGCCGAGCGTCAGTCGGGCCCCACCGACGACGACGAGACGATCTTGAAGGCCTTCAAGGCGTTCGACAACGGCGACGGCAAGGTCGACTCTGAGCAGTTCCGCGGCCAGCTGATGTCGTTTGGCGACAAGATGACTGGCAAGGAGGTGGACGAGGTGTTTGCCGAGATGGAGTTTGACGACGACAACAACATCGAGCTGGAGCCGCTGATCGAGATGATTGTCGGAAAGACGGAAGAGGAAGCGGCGGCCACGCAGGAGGCCGCGCCAGCCGAGTAGACCAGTGAGTTCCCGTCGGATGGGGGGCTCTTTTGTGGTTGGGAACGGGTTTATCAGGGAGACATTGATTTCATGAATGGAAATCTGTACTGTTCACGGCAAACTCTTTACAATTTGAATATAAAATGGAGATCAATAAGCTATGTGTAAAGGCATCATTCACTTCAACGTACATACTAACTAGTTCAAAGCGTTATTGCAGAAATTTGCATACACACGGCACCATTTCGGCAATCAAGTATACAATCGTTACACTCGGTCCTTTGAAGGAGCATCTCATTACAATCCCAACAAAGTCACGTAATTTATTCCAGAGTGGACCGTTCGGCTGTCACTTCAGCTCCAATCGCCGCTGGGCGGCTGTGGCGACTCTTCATGCCGGCCGGGACATCTTCAATTCTCCGCTCCTCGGGACGGTTCGGGTCGGAGCAGCGGCGGGCCCGAGGTGCTCCGGGTCCTGCTCTGTGACTCCGTACCCCCGAACCGTACCGCACCGTACCGCTGAGGTACCTCCGAGGAGCGGAGTGCTCGCGTTAGGAGAGGCAGCGTACCCCGCCGGCTCTCACCGGGTCGCCAGTTCCATTTCGCCGCCCTCTCCGCCCTGTCATGACCGACTCTCGCCAAATAAACTGTAATGACGATGTGATCTATTCCTGTGGGCCGACCGTTTACCGCTGGGAGTGAGACGCAGCCGCGGCGACCGGCTGCGCTGCCGGGGAGGAAGGCGAGCCAACAGAGATGGAGCCTCTAACCGGCCGAGCGGTGCAGCTCTGACAGTCGCTGGGAGGGAGGTCTGCAGTGGCAGACTCCCAGCGGGGGGGGGGGGGGAGAGATATTAGCGGTGAACCGGCCTGCCGCAGGGGGAGGGGCGGGGATGGTGGTCTGCAGACTGCAGTAGACATACCTGGCAGGGAGACGCTGTCAGAGCCGCCGGCCACAGAGGGAGCCATCAGTGGGGCCCGAGTGAGGCGGGATTATAGGGGCCCGGTGATGGTGTAATTGGGAGGGCAGAGAGCGAACGGGAGGTGAAGAGATGGTCGGAGAACGGGAGGAGATGGCGAACGGGATACAATGCTGAATTTATGTGACGTCCATGGAAAGCAAATGTAGGAAATCTTAGAATAATTGAGTAAAATTAAAATAGCGAAAGATGTACGCGTTTCATGATTGCGGAGACAGTAAAATTACACACATTTGCGGGAGACTTTCGTCTCAAACGCAGCGCTTTACACCCGCTGCGGAGCACCAATTCATGGCCGACTCATTCCAACGCTTCCACTTTATCATCTCAAGTCTCAACTAGCGACGCCGAAATAATTCCAATAGAAAGAAAGATTCTAAACCAACAAAACCAACAACAAAAAATCCTTGCTGTCCTTGGCTGAGTGTGATTCGAACCTACTTTTAGGTAATACCTACCAATGTGTTTATACTAATTTAGAAACTTGTGGTCGTAGAGTTTATCAAAAGATCAACTAAACGTGTCGATGAGTGCTTTACTCGATATGATTAACAATGAATGTTATCAGGTGACCAAAGTCGAAAACAAGCACTTACTCTATCTTGCCTCTATCACCTTTCATCACATTTCCTCTCCTTGGTCCGCACAATTGAACAGTGTTTCAGTTATCAGCGACACGCTCTTAATCGGACCATATGCGCCTGTTTTGCTATCCGGAGCCGCTCGAATATCCCGGCTGGGTCAGACCAGGCTCGAGTGGCCTCCTCTTGACATGACAGAACGCCGCCCACCCACTGCCGGGTCCCAGGGAGCGATACGGATATGTCAAGGGCACCGCAGAGCACGCAAAGTGGCCACGAACTACAGAAGTGATGCGGTGAAGACGTCTGATACGGGTGTCGGAAGGGACCAGACGTGTCTCTGGTGGGTGGCGCAGCTTTCGGAAGAGCTGCTTACTGCTATTGTGAATCGAGAGGAGCTAGTTGGTGCTAATGTGAGTCGTGATGCATGAACTGAGCGCCGACCACTGTGGAACGTCACAGAAAAACTAATTGGTGCTGCTGTCAATTCGAGTGAGTTGTCGTGGGTCGCCAGCTTGTATAACGGTCACTTCGAGACAGCGATAGCATCTGAGAAACGATGGAGGGGAGCAGCGGCGATGCTGCGACTTCCAGCAGTCTCAGAAACCAGGTTCTGGCCAGCATATGCGGTAAGTTATCACCTGGGAGGTGTCCTTCGATAAAGCGTAGCAACAGCATGCAAAAATGCATTTCCAAACGTAAAAATAGATTAAATAAAAAAAACTCAATGTGCCTCTTCGTTATCATGGACGTCACAAAGTCCCATTGCGTAGACTCCAATCACACTGCCACCTGTTTGGTCTGATGACTGATCTCGCGCCCTCTCTCGACCAGCCACGTACGGCGGTCTGGCCAACGGCCTGTCGGTGGGCTACTCGAGTCCGGCCGGCCCGGACCTGCAGCGCTCCCAGCTGCAGCTGGACGACCCTCAGGTGGCGCTGATCGGCTCCATGATGCCGCTGGGCGCCCTGTTCGGCGGCCTGGCGTGCGGCTGGTGCATGGAGCGACTCGGCCGGCGCACCACCATGCTGCTCGTCAGCGTGCCCAACGTGCTCGGCTGGCTGCTCATCACGTACGCGGCCAGCTTCGGGCCGATCGTGGCCGGCCGACTGCTGGCCGGCTTTGCCACCGGCTGCTGCACGGTGGTGGTGCCCGCCTATGTGGGAGAGGTTTGTGAGCCGCGCGTACGAGGCACCATGGGGGCTGGATTTCAGTTTCAGGCCACGCTCGGCGTGCTTATCGCCTACATAATCGGCAAGTATGTCCACTGGAACTCTCTGGCGATAGCGTGTGCAATCATGGTGGCCGTGTGGGCACCGCTCGCCTGCCTGATCTGCGAGACACCTGTGTGGCTGCTGGAGCACGGCCGTGACGCACAGGCGCTCGAGGCGCTCCAGTGGCTGCGAGGTCCGGACGCCGATGTCGGCGCAGAGCTGAAGTCACTTCGTGAACAGACGGAGCACGGCGCCAGCAACAAGGCGACGGTGATGGACCTCTTCAGCCGCGACAACCGGCGGCCGTTCGTCATGGGCATGATGCTGATGCTGCTGCAGCAGCTCAGTGGCGTCAACGCCGTCATTTTCTACACGGTGAACATTTTCGAGGACGCCGGCTCGTCGATCGACTCCGACCTGGCCACCATCATCGTGGGCCTGGTGCAGTCGGTGTCGACGTTCGCCGCCGTGGTGCTGGTGGACCGGCTGGGCAGGAAGGTGCTGCTGCTGCTCTCCGACGGCGTCATGGCCGTCTGCCTGCTGGCGCTCGGCGTCTACTTCTACATGGAGAGCGCCGGCACCGCCGACGATCTCGGCTGGCTGCCGCTCGTCTCGCTCATGCTCTACATCTTTGCATTCTCGATTGGACTCGGACCCATTCCGTGGCTGATGATGAGTAAGTACCAGCATCATACAATACTTGTTACTTAATTGTAATCATATTCATTCCTGTTTGAAGAGGAATATCTATTTCCTGTCATTTGGCGAAGCTGTTTCTTTTTTCTCGTATATCTATATCTTAATCTTTCTTAAGTAAATATTTAAAATGAGTTAAGGTGTGCTAAAAGTATTGGCACAACTTAGGTACAGGATATCCATTACAGCTCACTAGGCGTTGCTAGGAGTCACTATGTATAGGTGAAATCACTAGGTGTCGGTACGAGTCCCCATAAGCATTCACATATTCCGATCCTCACCAATTTTCCCTTAGTATAAATATACGCCAGTGTCCACACTGTTTGCCCCGTGCCACAGGTGAGCTGTTTGCGCCGGAGGTGAAGGGGGCCGCAGGAGGGATCGCCACCGCCTTCAACTGGACCTTGGCCTTCATCGTCACCCTCACGTTCGAGCCGCTCGTCGAGGGCATCACCGAGGCCGGCGTGTTCTGGCTCTTCGCCGCCATCTGCTTCGGAGGCGTCTGCTACGTCACCGTCTTCGCCTACGAGACCAAGGGCAAGACGTTGCAGGAGATTCAGGAACATTTTAGATCCTAGTGACAGACGCGCCTCGATCGTTTACTTTTTCTGATTAAGAATCTTGCGTATCCGATTACTATATTTCTGAATAAATGAATACCATATTGGTACCAAAAGAGCTATTTCAATGTTGTTGCTGCATTTGTCATTGAGATGCTGAGCGATAATACATATAATTATGCAAGCGCCCAGCAGTGAAAGGAAATAAACGTCTTTCGACTTTCATCACAGTGAAACGTTTCCTGCACAGCATTGCGAGGTCTACGTGTTTTTCTTCTAGTGTATCTAAAAGGTAGTCTTCGATTTATAAGCTGTAGGTACCTACTTATATAGTTTCACTGTCTCCTCTATCATCCAACCAGAGACTCACGCGGTTCGCTGTTCGAACACTCGTCCCTAGGCCGATTGGGCTTTTTCAGCGTCTAACGCAACGCCACCCGCAGTCCCAGTCAGTGAAACGGTCACCCCGGAGGGACTGGAAGATCCGTGAGTAGCACTATCACTGCTCCTTTGGGGGCTGCCCTGACCTCCGCCGATTATCTGGTGGGGCGATCGTTAGTCCGGGCAGGTTAGTCAGCTCAGCTCACTTCCTCTCTAGGTGGCAGCACAAACACGAACACCGGTGGAGTTGTACGAGTAGGTGACGCTAGCTAAGGCCTACTCTCCTATCAAGCCAAGAGTCCTCCCGATGCTGAGGCATTCGTATTCTCTAACCTGCTGCATGAAATAGCAATGGCAAAATAAGCCTAACCTCACTTCCAACATATCCTTATTATCAATTGAGAATAACTGAACACCCTTTAGCTTTATGCCACGCGGAAACAACACTTCAAAGTAAAGCCCAGTCTCTTTGGTTGAAGTTAGGTCGTACAAGGTACTGATGGAAAGTACTTATATTTTTGACGCTAGATGGCAGGATCATCAAACGCCTGAAAGTAGACTGTGCCGCAAGGTCTGGCCAGACCGAACGCCTGAAGGTTAGACTGTACCGCAAGGTTTGTCAATGCCAGCCCCCACGGCGCGTGGGCGACGCGAGCGTTTCTTCATCCCGGATACGGGCTTCAGCACATCGCATACATGATACACAAGACCGTGTCTGACCTTGTCTTGTGCACCAAGATCAACTCAGTGGCAGATCAAATTGAATCCTCCGGGGGTTGATAGGGAAACGGGCAGTCAACTTCACACGCTGCGATCAATGTTGGTGCCGGCCAGACTGGACCTATCGTAAGGTCCTATGTCGTATGGTAGCGTTAGACTCACTCTCACCATCAGCTTTTCGTCACTGCCAACGGTAGTTGGCTACACTACACATGGCGTGATGAAAGTCAATGAGCTAGAATTCACACGCGGCACACGGCGCGCGATTTTCTCAGAGGAAGCATTGCACGGAGTAACAGTTGATTGTAGACTGTAGTTGGTGCTAATTTCTTTCAAATATTGTAGATAGACGGCAGCACATTAATTGAACTTATGACCATTGCCTAACGATCTGTTTAATTCGATCGCTCAAGCCAAACAATTAATGGAAGCCTGACAAGTCGATTCAGAGCGGAGGTGCGTCCCACATTTTACAATTTGCAGTCCGTTCGACGGAAGATCGAACTAACTAGCTCACAGTCACGCTATCCTTGGCGGCTTGCGCCGTCGTGTAATACGGCTGAGTTGTTTCCGGCGGCTCTGTCGTGGTGACGAGCTGGTCCTCCGTCTGGCAGACGAAGCGCAGGTAGCTGACGATGCAGTCGCCGTCCCTCCAGCCGTCCGTCCCGCCGCGCTGCAGGTAGGCGCAGCGCTCTCCGTCCCCGCGCGGCTGGCCGGCCGCCCAGTCGTGCCAGTCGTACGGCGTCCCGTCTGACCACTGCCAGCCGGCGCTCTCATTGGGCCGGCGCAGTCCCAGCCAGCCGCCGGTGCCGTTCAGCACCTGCTCGGCCACAAAGGCCGCCACCTGCAGGTCGTGCACGGAGACGTGCCGCGAGCCGGGCGCCTGCAGCTCGCACACACTGGCCACGGAGCGCCACTCGAGAGGGAACGGCGAGGCCCAGTAGCACTGGCCGCGGTACAGCAGCCACTCCGGGGAGGGGCAGACAGCGCCGGCGGCGGCCAGCACGGCGCTCAGGGTCACCACACGCAGAGCCATGGAGAGAGGACAGAGTGGGAGACGGTCAGGGAGTCAGCCTTCTGGCCTGGTCTGACCGACAGTCGAGTGATCAGTGGGCGTTAGCCTTCGGTGATTCGAAGTGGTCAAGATAATTGTGACCGGCGTCTATCAGCCCCCCTCCGAGCAGCGGGTACGACACACGCCGGTCACAGCCCGTGCACCGGCGCCCGACCGGCACCGGTCTATCGGCCATTAGGATCGGATCAACAGGCGAGCTTTGTGGGCTGCTCAAGAGCAATTTACGAACCTGCAGTATCGGTAAATGCAACAGACAAGCCATTCTACGAAGCCATTACCTCTGAGCTCTCGAAAAGCTGGATAAATGCCAGCTGTCAAGTACATTGAATTGGAGACGAGAACTGCAATTGCATCCCGTCGCTTCGACAAAAACATCCAATTACCTACACAAACAACAGCGCAGACGCTAAGGCGTCTGTACCGCAGTACTCTGCAATAATAGGTATACCGATATACCCTAATTGTGATATGCCTATTAGAGACAAGAATACAGACCTCCCATATCGGCTATCACATATAAGCATCATTGGCCGATATTACCAAGAGCTATTTCAGCACTCCTTTATTAGTCACGACGCACTGTATCTCGAGTGTTGGCGAGGTTTGTCTCCGTAGTTGTCGTAGTTAAAAGTAGCATAAAACTACACAGATATCAATGCTGACCACATCGGTCCATTTACTCCGTCAGTGGTCTCGGTGGGCTCGCAGTTGATAATACTTAATTAAACCCTAGCGCTCTCCAGCCACGCTAGCGGTCCCAGCATCCCCCGACCCTCATTATCAGCGGCCCGGCAGTGGCTGACCTCACCACTAACATCAGCGACCCCAGCGGCGCCCCGACTGATGAATGTGGTTCCAGCGGGCCAGGCCGGACTGACCGGGCGGTCCAGCATCGATCGTCGACCGACGTGGCACCCGGCGCCGCCCATCGATTCCCAGCGCCGCCGCCGCCGCCGCCGCCGCCGCCGCCGCCGCCGCCGCCGCCGCCGCCGCCGCCGCCGCCGCCGCCGCCGCCGCCGCCGCCGCCACTCTCCCAGCTGAGACGCCGGCGGCGGCGGCGGGTCACGGATAGAGAGCTCGGCTCGCTGGCGATACAGGGGCGTGGCGCGGGCACGCTGCACGGAAACGAAAGCGGTCGGTCAGCCGTGGACAGCCGTGAGCCGACGGTGCCAGTGAGAAGGGACGGACGAGGGTGGAACGAGTGTCGGCGGGTGGTGAGAAGCGGCAGTGTGGTGTGGCGTGCTGACGGCGAGGGAGGAGACTCACGGTAAGAGGAGGGTTATAGAGATTGTCGTGCCTGGAGACAATCGTCTAGTGAGACGGAGGTTCTGCTGGTGAGGACGGTTCGAGGAAGACAGACTGAGGACCGGCCGGCGGCGATTTTCGATTGCAGTTTCGCACTGGGCGGGCGCGGGTTGGCCAAGCATTCAGCTCCTGATCTAGCTCTCAGCAGGTGTCTGGCCCTGTTTCGCGCAGCAGGGGCAGCCACTCGGCTCGACCATGAGCTCGGCCGAGGGCCCGCGGATCAGCGTGAGCGGCTCGGCGCCGGCCCGCTCGCCGAGCCGCGAGTCGCTGCGAACCGACACCAGCCTGGCCACCGTGCTCTCCGGCGAGATGGTGCGGCTCGGCCTGCGGATGCCGGGCGCCTCACGTGGCCCGTCTCCGGGCCCCGGCGCGCGGCTGCGGGTGCCCGGCGGCGGGCCGGGCCGCGCGCCGGGCGCCGACGCCTGGTGTGAGGACGAGGCCGACCTGCTGCGCTCCTGCGGCCTGCTCAGCCGCATGCTGGGCATGTCCAAGAGTTTCAGCACGGGCGACATCGCGCGCCTGGAGGAGCCGGAGCCGGTGAGGAGGGCGGTCAGCCAGGCGGCGCTGCTCGGACTGCGCACAGAGCTGGCCGCCGGCCGGCTCGACCAGGCCAGCCGCTCGTGCAGCACCTGGGTGGCCGTCGGGGACCTGGCCTCCACCTCCCAGCTGCCCTCGCCGCAGGGGCGCCAGCAGACGGCCGCCGGCGGGGCCGGACAGTCGCCCTTCTCCGCCGCCGACCTCATACGGGCCGTCAACAAAAAGGTGCGTGTTTACGTGAACGATAATAATTTACCAATAGAAAGAAAACACGGCCCACGTGCCGTCCATGTAACAATGATGCTCTCATGCAAACATATACGGAAAGTGCCAAAGACACGCAATCAACTGACTAGGCACAATTGAGTGTAGCAACGCGGGTCATTTGCGGGCTTTTCACGCACGACACTGGTAGCACGCAGTAAGACGGTTTATCGTCACCAAAAACTGAATTTCTTCCCACACTGCACTTTCGGTGGTACAAACAAAAGGCATGTTCTCATGCCTCCTATTCGATTAAACGTAACACCTGACATTATTTATGCTAACCATGACCATTTTAAACATTCACGGTCACTAAATCGTAAGAAACACACGGTCATTGCGATGAACGGCGCTATGCTGGTCGTTTTCTCCCCTCGGTAGCGCACAGGGCAGGTCCATTTCGCCAGCGTATTTGCTCAGCGGCTCCGCCAACAATCGGGTCCATCCGCTACTGGTGCGGGGCACGCACGTCAACAGTGGCCCTCCCGACTGTGATTCAGAGAGCGGTCACACGCGCAGTGGATATCACACGGGCGTCTGACGGTGATTGATCAGACAATCACTGTCAGTAGTCTGTACTGGCTGCCGGGGCGGGATCAGTCGAGCGAGGAGGAAAGCTCAGAGGTGAAATGTGGCGACCGTGCCATGTATAAATCCTAGACTACGGACAGTTATCACTCACCGCCCACGGTCCACCTATAGTCGTAACTACAGCTAACACTGGGATTCATCTATATAAAAGACATCAGACGGCATTGTAAGTCACTAACTAAGGTTGAGACTAGAAACGGTCAGGCGGACTCAGATTCAAATAAATAGAATTCAAAAGTTGGCTCAGACCGATTTCTCACCCACACTGCCGTCTCACTAAAGGCATAGTGCTCCAAAGGTAAAGATGGCTGCATCTCTGTCGGTACGCTTACTTACAGTTACGCTTAATAACAGGCAGAGACGGTATCTAGTATCTGTATCTACTACCTTATGCTTTTCATCGAGAATGAGACTTTCAACATTTTCATTCTTCCAGGCTGTAACGTTGTTCGTTTTAATTTGGTTTCGCTGGGGAGCCTGCTCGGTCTAAATATATGACCATTGTAAGACCATAAAACTGGATTAACAGTAAGCCGAGTTAGGCCCTGGAGACCCACACGACGCTGAAAGCGCCCGACCTCATGGGCAAGCTCCCGAGACCAGTCACCAGGGCGGCAACTCCATGGGTTCACCAAATAAAAGAAAGGGCGTTTCAGACAAAAAAGTGTTGTCGGAAGCAGATGCTAGTTCGGGTAGCGGATTGAATCTGAGGCGATTATATGCCACGGAACTGGAGCCCAAACTGTCAAACCCATGAGTTGCCACTTGCCACAGTAATAGATGGTGCAGTATTTTATCTGATACTCTCCGTAACCGATCCGCCATCCTCGACAGAGGCCAAACCAGCTGAAACATTCCGAATTGACTGCTCCTGACTGGACCAGTAACAACTATTACCTAATCGGTCTATTTACTGTCGTCGTTGACAGGTCCTACACGCCTACCGCGACCGGTCTGACTGAGAGTGACAATCCGTCATAGGTGACCGAACACTTGAACAGTCTCAAGTAGCCGCTCTGGCTGCCTTAGATCAGTGACCAGTTCGGCTGCCTCAGAGACCAATCTGGCTCAGCCTGTTTGCTGTCTGTGACCTGTCAGATTGCAGCTAATCCCTTTAACCAGCCCATCACCCCTAGCAACCGGTGTGGCCGCCCTCAATGCCAACGACAGGCCCCCCGGCCACAGATGGTCATTGACGTCATCGCTGTCCGAGCTGTCGACCGTTCGGGGTCTCATATCGGCGGCGCGGCGACGGCGGCCACGCCCGGGCCGGCTGCACCTATTCCTGGCGCTCGGGGAGGGCGCGCGCCGCGCGGGCGGGTCTGCAGCTGCTCTGTACGGCGAACTGTGGCCACCGCACCAAGTCACCGGCACTGGACAGTATTTCTGTCGGACCCGGGCCGGGCCGCGACCACCTACCAGGCGCTGCACTGGTGGCAGGGGCACGCCCGAACTTAAACTTGGACAACGATCGACATCAGTTAATCGAAATCTGTCCACCAGCGGAAGGATCCTGCTCAAAGGTGGTCGTTGTTTGTCTATGTTTGGCCTGGAGCGGAAACTGGGGCGATATTGTTGGGGTCAGACAATAATGCGATTATTTGCACGGCAATTGACTAATTGACTATTGCCAAATTCCATCAGTGTAACTAGCGGCTGACGGTGTCGCTGCGCCATGCATTTAGGGAATTATCAAGGTTCTGGCAATAATAGACAATGTCATTGATGTTGTTTTTGTTGGGTTATGCTCTTTCGGTCTAGCGAGACCATTTCAGTGCTGGAAGGATAATAGGAATGAGCGGGAGACCTGGGTCTGAGCGGGCACCCCAATGAGTCGTCAGAGCTAAGCCCATCCAGTCGACAGGCCGCCCAGCGGCCCTTAGACACCGCACCCGGCCACCGGCGTGCTCCTAGGGGAGCTTCCCGCATGCGATAAAACTGCCCGTCTAGCTCAGAACAATGGGTTAAAGCATGGAGAAGGATTTGACTGTCCTGAGGATGGAACTGAAGGAACCTTGAATGTCATTGCCCCAGTCGGTTTGGTTGATGACTGGATGCCGTGACCCTTCTATCCTGCCAGTGCTGTTCGAGGACTCAAACTGACGCTCCACTACTAATCTCGACTGACTATCCTGTCAGCGCCGTGTGCTCGACTGACTATGAACCAACTGACGTCTCATCACCACTGTGTGCTGTCTGCTGGCCCCACTCGTCACAACCCTGCGCCGCCCCATATGGCGTCCCACCCCGCAATGTTCCGACTCCGACTGACGTACTGTCACTGCCGTGTCGCCAGGTGCGTCAGAACTACATCCGGCGCCGGCTGCACATCACATTCAACGCGCTGAACCGGCTCTCCCAGAGCGAGTTCAACCTGGAGCAGCTGTTCAGTACTGGAGTCCTGCCTGCCTTCGGCGTCCCGACGGTGACGACGGGAGACAGCGGCGCCGGTCGGCCGGCCGAGCCGCCGCCGCCGCCCACCGCCGTCCCGGCCGCCAAGACGGCGCCGAGAGCCGCCCAGGCAGGGGCGGGGGCGGGCGCGGGGGCGGCTGCGCAGCCGGGAGTCACTTTCCGAGATGTGGACCGACAGCGAGGTCGGCCACTGACCCGCTACCAGCGCAACATGATGGTCTTCAACTGGTTGCACACGCTGGACGAGAGCAGCCTGGAGGTCACGTAGTAGTGACACGTCCCCAGTCTGGGCAGGCGCTGATTCCCCTGGTCGGCAGGAAGCCAGAAAAGTGCTACTCCGAGGGAGGATAGCCAGCGTGGCGTCACCGCTGCCTCGGCGCGGACGGGGTACTCCCCGCTGGTTCAGGGGAGGGCGGAGTGCCTCTAACAGAGGTGGGAGCCTAGGGTGAGACTGACGCGTCCACCGGCCGGTCGGAAGGGTGCGCCGTCACCAGTTGTCGCGCCCCTCGCCTAGCTACATCCGACTCCTCCAAGGAGCCGTCCTTCAGTTGTGCTTTCTGAGTTGGGAATGGCGTGGTCCGGTTCTGTTTTGCTACATAATGTGCTTGGAAGATGATAATATTGATGGATATTATGTCGTGAAGTAAAAGCATATTGTTAATGCTTATCAAATGTTCTTTAGTAGTCAATTGAAAGTCAAAAGTATGGGTGTTATATATTGAAAATAGAAAACCTATAAAGTTTCATGAAATGAGAGAGACGCTAAGTAGTACTAGTTGGAATGGCATAACATTTGTTTTATGGCTTGATGCTATATGTCCAAGTCAATATGCACTCGACAGACAGCAAATGCAAGACGCTTTATACTCTATAACCCAGATAACGCAACGCAGGCATCGATTCACTACAGCAGACCTCGAGTCCTTCCAATGAATCGCCATCCAGCATTGAACCGGTTATCACAGATTTTCAGGTCACACGACAACTTGCTTCCATTGAAGCAAACGGGTCTACTCACACGGAACAAACTGCATTGCCATAGGACGCAAACACCAAGGATCACAACGAAGTTCAAACGCACCTTTGCGACAGACACCGGTCGGCGGTCTTTGGCAGCCCCGTCCACCTTGGTTCTCATAACAGTGTGGTCAATGGTCAGTGACTTCTCAGCCTCCCAATTTCACCCCCGTCCACCGTCATTCGATGATGATGAATTGGGGGTTTAGGGCGCCCAGACTGCGGTGGTCATAGGCGCCTATCCACTGCCATTCCATTTCCACGTATGCCTCATACGCGGTCATTCGGCTCCCCGTCCCTCACCGTTCTGTTCCCACGCATACCTCCTCCACTACCTTTCCGCTCCCTCGTTTGTCTCCTATCACTCCGATACCTCGGCCCACTAGCTAACGCCTCCTCTGACAGCTACCTGGCTCCGCCGGTGCCGAAGCGCCGGTTCCAGTCGACGTACATCTGCAGGTCCTCCTGCGACACACTGGCTCGGATGTTGGCCAGAGCAGCCACAAAGTCGTCGTAGATCAGCGGCCGGACCTGCCGCACGCACCAAATGGTCAGATGAAATGTGCATTTGACGTTGGAAATTAAAATACAGAGAGCAACCACAAATTTTAACGGGCGACAGCACGACACTCACTCTAATGACAAAATAGACGGAAATTAGAGCGTAGATTAAGAAAATATAAGAGAGAATAAACTTAAAAGAAAATATAAAATTATTTTGAGGAAAGCGTATGGTCAATTCAATTGACATACGGGCAGCTCGGTTACAGATCAGACGCCACACCGACTCCCTCGGCCCCGTGTGGCCTCATTGGTATACCAGTAGCGGAGTGGCGCTCCGACCCGGGATATCTAATAACGCGCGCGATCGGCGCATTCTGGCCGCGTCTCGCGGTGGATATCCGACCCATCAGTGGTGCGGTCGGCTCTGAATGGTCTGTATAATCTGACCGGCGACCGAGCCGTCTCCAAGGAGGCTACAATCAATAACAGTCGCGGCCGACCGAGTATAGGGGAGGTGCAAACCACAGCGGGGTACATCAGACAGCTTTCACCGCACCATCAGGCCTTGAGTCGCCCCATCGGTCCCTAACTCTCTACCGCCTCGATCGCGGCCGGGGTGCACTTGACAGTCTAATCTTTCTTAATTAGCGCCGGGGCATGCTAATGATGGTTCCTAATGCCACCCTCGAGGCAGAGACTCCAGAATGTCCCCCAGCGCTCCTCAGAATTAAATGACTCAAAACTAGACGGACCCCACAGCCCCGATGGAGACCGAGGCATGAAGACAACTCAGTCTCATATACCCTGCCTCCTCCTCCTGCCCATCAGCCGAGTCAGGCAGACGCCTCTCGCCACTGATTATCTGCGTCACGCCAGACGGCTCGCTCCCGGCCTGATTTACAATGCATATCTGGTAATGATGCAATCTAACTCAGCGCATATCTGGTAATGATGCAATCTAACTCAGCCAGCGGCGACCCAGAATATTCGCTGTGGACTCGGCCGCCTCCAAGTTCGGACCCATCCGAGACGACGGTCAAACGCTTCGGCAACTATAAAATTTAGAAACGGTCTCATATAGACGTCGAGACGGGCCCAACTCGGAAGCATAACTTGGGCTGTTGACGTTGTTCGGTCATGTTCCGAAGTTCGGTGTCTATTTTCGTATAACACAGGCACCGTCCGTCTCCACGCGACTCTCTCAGCAGTTCCTCCATCCACCCGACTTGCAGATCCTCTCTCCTGTTCCCTGAATCCTGACCTGTTCGGGGGTGATGTCGTGGATCTGATCGGGCCCGATGCAGCGGATGGGGCCCAGCGCCGCCTCTCGGCACAGGTTGGCCACGTCCGCCCCCGAGTAGCCGTCGGTGTCGGCGGCCACGGCGTCCAGCTGCTCTCCGCTCAGCTGGTGTCTCTGCGAGCTCAGCAGACGCTCCACAATCTGTCGGCGGGCGGCGGCGTCCGGCAGCGGCACGTACAGCCGCTTCACCAGCCGGCGCCGGGCCGCCTCGTCCAGCTCCTGAGGCCGGTTTGTGGCGCCGACAACCAGCAGACGGTCCTCGCCGCTGGTCCCCGCTCCGTCCTGCGAAATACACAGGGGCGTGAGAGACCGAAACAAAACAGAGAAATCCGTCTTTTCTAGTGCATACTATATTGTAATTTCCATATTAATCGATAAAAGTGCAAATTGATGCCAGAAAATCATAGTCAAAATTGTTCAGTTCGTTCGCATTTATTCGTATGACATATGAGTAAACGAATGTTAAGCTGAAACAAAATTAACGAAAGCCACCCAAAAGGTACAGCTCCAAATGGCTTGGCTTTAGAGCGGCTCCATTTCAACTATGTTGAACAACCGTCATTAAATATCAACCGGTGGTTCTGACATCCAGTCGTCTGTTATCCGCCAGCTACCAGTGTCACGAGCACGACTGCAGTGTCCTCCCCAAACTCCAGCCCTCCCCGGCTCAGAATCCAACCGAGGACCGCCCGTACCTAACAGCCCCTCCCTCAGGGAGGGCACCCCTAGTCCACCCACATAGCTAGCTCACTACACAGCAACCCAGCCCTCCACACCCACCCCAGCACACCTGAGGCTTCCGTGTCGCCACCTCTCGGGGCCCGGAAGCCGCGGCCGAGTGAAGACAGCGCCCGCCGAGCACGCGATGACACCCCCCTTCCGCCCCACCCTCCTACCCGCCCGTCACGTACCAACTGCACGAGGAACTCTGTCTTGATGCGCCGCGAGCTCTCGTGTTCCGTCTCGGAGCGTTGAGAGAGGAGAGAGTCGATCTCGTCGATAAACACCACCGCCGGCTGGTGGCATCTGCAGGGACAAGAGCGATGAGATGAAGATAAATCGGGATACGCTCATGATATAGGTCGTTGACGACGAGACGAGGTTGTGCGAAAATGGATGCTTTACCATAGAAAACGATTTGCAATACACTGTTCGTACATGAACTAGGGATCAATTCATTGGTATTGTATAACAACAGCGAAGAGTTAGCCTAGCTAAGAGTCAAATGGCATGCAACCAGAGCTTACATAATATACGGCAATAATAGGATGTCGGCGAGCCTGCGAGGGACGAAGTTCTAAAACTTACAAAATACCGTTTTGATGTAGTCAGTAAGAACTCATTACCGAGAGTGAGTGTCATGATCAGCAGATAAATTAACCCTCGCCCGTAAACGGCGATCTGCCACCTTCGCCCATGCAGGGGGGGGGGGTTGGTGCGACCCCCCCCTTGGCGTTTGAAAACGGAGCGTCGTAGAGCTTAGCGGAAAAGACCAACGGATTGCTCTCGCCGAGATCTCGCGATTGGTGGTATATTTTTTGGTCCAAGGTCAACATTTCACCTACTTTTGACCGGTCAAAGGTCAAATTTTCGAAAAAATAGACTTTTTTCAACTTTCCGCGGCGATTGCGGCAAAACGGTGGGAGATATCGACTTGAAACCTTCACTATCGTGTTCCTTGATCAATTCTCTATCGTTTGGTATGGATTTCGTTTCCCTAGCTCTAAAAATGACGCGTTGGGAGCGCCGGAAGTCGGCAAGGTCACAGTCGGCGGCAGAAATTCGAAAAATCAAAATTTAAATTTTTGAAATCTGATTGTATTTTTGGATTTGGAAGGTCCATTTGCTCCCTATAGAAGCTAATATTGCTGCATATTCCCATTGAGGTGACAAGAATTAGCAAAATAGTGGTTCGGGCGCTTTTCAAAAATAGTACCGGACGCTGTTCCTCTTGTGACGTCATAGCTCCGTGACCTGACCTGACCCGGTCAAGTTTCTTATACCATATGATAGCCAATACTTGCCCCAACATGCATGGGAAGTTTCATCACGATCCATCAACCGATGTCCGTACCACCGGCAGGAAACCTCGGGCGTTGGCACTCAGTTTGTGAAAATCCGGCCGGAGGCTGTTCCCTTTGTGACGTCATAACTCCGTGACCGGACATGACCCGGTCAAATTTTTTTATCAAAAGATGCGCAAGGTTTGCCCCATAAGGTACCCAAAATTTGGCGGCGCTGCGCGCCGCCGTTTTTGCACTATTTCCGAAATACCTCAGGGGGGGGGGGGGGGGGGTTGCACCAACCCCCCCTACATGGGCGAGGGTTAATACCCTCAAATCCGGCTTACCGGTCACACTAAGGTCGTTACAATCACGCGAACAAAATCGATACAAGTGGCGGATCTACGCTCCCTCAGTCATAGTTCATACCGGTTACCCGTCGTATCTAGGTGACGAGTAACGACCGTATCGTACACGATCGACTTACAACTATAAGTTACGGTGTGGACCGTGTGACTCGAGCCGACCGCACTGAGCCGTACCAATCACACTGGCGGCGAGCCTGAGCGCAAACAGGGCTGACCGGTACAAACAGTCGACGGCGGCCGTCCAGCACACAGCTCGCTCGGCAACAGCCCTGTTCTGCCCAACAAAGTCCGTGCTGAGCTTTAGCCCACAACCCTTCTAACCGTTGACTACCGTTGGTAGACACAGCCCCCAAGTCCATATAGCCCTCCGACGAAGCCCATGCAACCTATATATAGCAGCCCTCACTGCAGCCCATCAGTCCGGACAGTCCATTCAATACACAGCCGGACAGCGCCCACAATACACAATCAGACAGCCCGCCCAATACACAGCCAGACAGCACCAATCCAGCACATACAGCCCAACAGTGACCGCACCCACTGACCGACAGCTCATTTTGACACGCCGAGCGGCATCCACGGCGTCCCCCCGGCTCACCTGGCGACAGCGAACAGCGCTCGGACCATCTTCTCCCCCTCGCCCACCCACTTTGAGGTGAGCGACGAGGCGCTGATGCTGAAGAATGTCGACCGAGACTGACTGGCGATACATTTACCTGGTGACATCGGTAAACAATGAGGTAGTTGGGAAATGGCATGAAGAACATTTACAGTGCGCGGTAAAAAAAAATGACATGAGAGTGAGACATAGTCTAATTGAGAGAGCACAATTTTAATGGCATGCATGTCAACATCCTATTCAGGAGAATCCCATAGGAGATTGGAGAGTCGCCCCCAAATAGCTTACACTCAGCGGAGACTCACCGATCAGCGTTTTCCCGGTACCGGGCGGGCCGAACAGCAGCAAGCCCTTGGGCAGGCCGCGCAGCCCGGTGAAAATGTCGGGCCGCAGTAGAGGCCAGATCACCATCTCCTGCGGAAGGGGAGAGGAAGGGAAGGGGAGAAGTGAGGGCCGTTCCAGAAGGGTATACCAACGACGGAAAAGACGAATAGCGTCAGGTCACAAACGGGACATCGGGAGTTAGCACTGAACGGTCATTGCTATACGGAATCGACGCGACAGCCTATTATGTTTCCGAACTAGAAATCGATTTTGTGTCTTGTCGCACACTTACCAAAATCTGCCACTAAGTTCCGTGTGTAAGCACTTTGGACATCATGCCACTGCATAAATCACCGCATCCCAAACAGACTACTCACTACAAACCCAGTGCGTACGGAAGCCAAACAAGCCCACACCCAACCTCCCTGTCATTCTGCACTCGCCCACGTAGCCTCATCCACCACCACGAACCTTGATGGTGTTTTTGGCAAACTCCAGTCCCGCAATGTCGTCCCAGGTGACGGGCGGACCGCGGTCCATGATTTCTGAGGTTATGAGTTCTACCATACGCGGCTCGATGTTCTTGAGCCGCTCGTCCAGGAGGACCTCAGCGCCCGCCGCGCCGCCCCCGCCTCCGTGATCAGCCGCTGATGACGCCATGCCGGCTGATGGACGACTGTAGGGAGAGAGGCGGGAGTTCGTCATTTGGGCTGACGATGGGTGGGACGGTGTCTGGCATTACGGGACTCACACGGAGGAAATACGGCGTCTGAGTTAGGCGCTGCTCGGCGATATTTTACCCATGAATTAATATCTACAACCGAAGTTCCCGACAAGCAGTGCTGAACTATATAAGCAGCTTAAAAAAATACGACCGTCAACCTCTCTTTCGCTTTTATTTCGCCATATCACGTGACAGACCATCCCAACATCACCCTCATGCCTCGTATCGCTCTCCTCGCTGACTAAACCACTGCCGTCAGCCCTCATCCCTCCCTCACGCCATCCCGATTCCCAAACTCACTTGTCCTCGTCAGCGTCCCTGACGGGCGGCACGAAGCGTCCGGCCGGGCCGCGGCGGGTGCCCAGACTGCCGCGCCGCTGTCCCCCGTACAGAGAGCTGGTGACGCGCTTCTCCGCCTGCTCAGCCGTGTAGCCGCGGCTCTTCAGCTGGTTCAGCAGCTGCCGGTGGCGGTAGTGGAGTGGAGGCGTTACGACAAACAGAAATGACCGCGGTACGACAATGATACTACGTCAACTAGCAACGGCAACTGTGCGACTTGCGACAGTCAAGAACTGCGGCGACACGGCAGCAGCCTTTAGGAATAACGCCACGCAGCCTGAGCCGTAGCATGCCACAAACTCATTATCAATTGAGGCACTGGATGCTTGGCCATAAATCTTACATCTCATGTTAAAAAGACATTTATATGACGTTAACATGATACCAACTGCACTGCAGCGAGTGAGCGATTCCCCAACTCTGCCAAAGTGCTTACATGCTCTTCCTTGGCTGTTCTGAAGGAGGACGCTGGCGGCGGCGCCGGATCCTGGTTCTCCTCTGCTTCATCATCGCCCCAGCCGCCGCGTGCTCTTTTACCGTAACCTGAACAAAACACCACAAACAACGTCGAAGGAAATACATCGGCTGATCTAATAAAACTGATTCAATAGCGTTGATACGATAGTGTCAGTTCTTTTTTGGTATGACAATAAAATATAAATAACGTAAAGAAACGGCACACACTATTAACCGACAAAAGGCAATTAAACCGACAATTAAACTACAATGTGACAAAAGAGATAAGAGTGAAACAGATGGTGACCGCTCACCTCTGCCCCTGGCGGCTCGCCCGCGCGGGTAGCGGTCAGCGTCGGTCGGCGGCTCCACTCTGCCCTGCCGCGAGCCGGGAGCCATCATGGACCTGACCTGGGCCGCCACATTGTACCCGGCTGACCCGCCGCCAGCCGCCGGGAACAGCGGAGCCGAGGGTCGCACTGGCTGGAACCGGTACCTACCGGCCCCCGGGGCGGGGGCTGGGGCCGGGACCGGGACAGCCGGCTCGGCAGGGGCAGCTGCGCGGAACAGAGGTGCGGGCCGCGGCAGACTGGCCGGTCCGGTAGCGGCGGCAGAGACTCCCGCTGACCGCAGAGGACCGAAGTCGGTACTCCGGGCCGCCGCTGGAGCAGCAGATGGTGTGGTGTTCAGCCTCTCGGCCACCGCCTCCCGGAGCTGGCCCAGATCAGATGGCTCCGGGGCTGAACTGGCTGGTAGCAGCTCACACAGAAAATCCTCAGTGATGCCTGCTGTCCAAGTGGAGCTTTCTGGTGGATACATAATGGTGGTGTTGTTAAGTAGCACACTCAGCCTTATTCATTGAAAGTATACCAGATTCTTCAAATGATGCTTGTAGCTGTTGTAAATGTGGAGATGCTATTACATGTTAATCGATCTACAGTTGGGCTAAAGCATTTCAATGGCTGACTTAATATGCAATTTAAGAAAAGTGACTAAGTGATTGGATCTTATGCAGTGTAAGAAAGCAATTCAGCCTACAATAAGTTGACAAGCCAATAGAAAAAAAATACAAAATGGCCCCCACCAGCTGTTTAACTAATATAAAATCCACAAATTTTCACAATGAGCTAGAACACTCACCATTCTTGGCTGACTTGCAAAGAGCAAGACAGTCATCTGCATAATTATTGATACCATCAATATCATCTACAATTGATGCATACTTTGACAGGTGTTCTGCCAGAATCAGGCCACTGATTTCATCCCTCCTGAAAAAAATGGATACATTAGTGTTCCCGCCGTTACGGGTTGTTCAGGTTTTGTTATGGAAGAGCCTGAGTGAGGGCTGCTTTGTCTAAACGACTGCATTTGCTATTTTCAGGTGACCGCCCCAGACGATTTGTCATGATATGTGACGCATGTTGAACGGCATCAGAGCTGTCCTGATCGGGGCGCAGTGAAATACGGTTTGCTGAACAGTGATTGCCACTTGGACCGATACTGAAGCCGAAATATTATTGCCGGTTATACTGACGGTGCAGTTGGCTGTATCACCATACTGAGTCACTGACATTTGTACTAAAGTCGCCTATCGTCCCGGACGAAGTGAGTAGCCATACACTGACACAAATCGTGTAATGCTTATTCGCTCTGTTATAAATGCATATTCGTTTGTCTCACAGTGCCAGCTGGCTACCTATCTGAAATTGTCTCTTGCGGACTGATTAAGAAATAATTTTCGTTGTTAAATTGTCAGTTTATTGGGTATTTGCAGCTCACGTGTTGTTGTGGCTGTTCCCCCCAGTGACCTTGGGCGAATCGTAAGCTACATTGAGTTAATTGTCTTTTGTATGTGTTTTCACAGTTTTCTACGGTCATCACGGTCCACACTGATCGCTGCAAGGTGTCACTACTGAATGATCCCAATACATACTGACCGACTAACACTTTGTAGTAAAAACCGGTGGCCAGATCAGTAGAAAATTCCATTAGGACGATTGGCCACAGTAGATAAGTTTCTCAGGTTTTTCATGGGACAGTATAGACCCTACTGATACACTTTTTCTTCAAGGAGACTAACAATATTAACTGAGATATCCTGTATTATAGAATGTCATAATTTCCTACAGTTGACAAACCTTGACAACTTCATGTCATCTGGTCTTACAAGTAGTGCAGCTTTGTTGTTATCTCTGTCACTCTTTTCTGTCGGAGGCTTCCTGTGCCGGAGTCAGAAGATGGACATGTCAGGCAACAAGTCGATGTCAGGCAGGACCATCACTCCAACTGAAGCTGGGAGAGAGTACCAGACCAGCTTGAAAACAAAGGCGTTCAAACGGGAGCTGCAGGACCTGATGAAGCTCGGCTCGCAGCTTGTGCGGCATGATGATACTTCAGTCGAGACACTCCCGGGCATCATGGAAGAAGATGTTGCTAAGTGGATTCACACCTACATTTCTCTGGGACAGGTGGAACAAGATCTTCAGCATCTTCTCTCCCCAGAAGACTTTCAGAGACACACTGAGACACATAAGAAAACCATGGAGACTGTGAACCAGATTAAGACTGCTCTTGAAGAGTACCAGAGCACACTGAAGAAAACAAGTGTCAAACCACTCTCACGCGCTGGTGTGTCAACAAAATCTGGTTCCTCTAAGTCAGTCAAGTCTGGTCTCCAGCTGATGCGCATCCAGGCGGAACACAACAAGGCCGAGATTCAAGCAAAGCTGAAGATGTTGAACAGAAAACAGGATCTGGATAGACAGCGCCAAGAGCTCGAGTGGAAACAGGAATCATTGGAGCTGGAGACTCAAATGGCCGTTCAAGAAATGCAAGAGGAAGTCGTGGAAAGGTTTGAAAGAGAACTGGATGACAGCGCTGCAGAAGACGGCCCACCAAATGAACCACAAGCACAGCAAGCAGTGTTGGAAGAACAGAGGATGCTGTCTCAGGAGGGTAATGAACAGAGACCCTCAAGTGGAGCAAGACCGATGTTAACCTCACCTGGCATGCCTCCCAGTGAGTCGCACGCAGCAGCAGCGACTGGACCTGCTGGAGGTAGCTTGAATGTGGAGGCACCAAGTTTTCAGCCACGCGGCCAGCCTCCCGATCATGACCAACAAGATCAAGACGACAACACAACAAATGTGTTGAAAGGTCTCTCCGAGCTGCTGGTGGAGCAGAGCAAGCGCGCCCGTCTACCAGCTATCGAGCCAGATGTGTTTTCTGGAGAAGAGGAGAGGTATCATCTGTGGATGAACAGCTTTGAAACATACATCGAGAACAGGACAGCCTGCCCGCAGGAGCGTCTACACTTTCTGTCCAGATACACAAGAGGAGAAGCCAGATCGATGATTGAAAGCCTGCTGCACCTGAATACTACAGATGCATACGACAATGCCAAGAAGAAACTCCATGATAGGTACGGTAACACCTTCATAACTGCCAATGCCTTCCGCAAGCGCATCCATGAGTGGCCTGCAGTTCGACCCGGCGACGGGAAAGCATTGAGACAACTAGTTGACTACCTCGAGAGCTGTAAGACAGCATCAAGACATGTGAGTGGACTGGCCTCACTGGACTCAGTGGATGAGAACAACGTGATCCTCAAAAAACTGCCACGATACATCGTCGACAGGTGGAGACGCGTGGTTGACGTCAGGTTGTACGAGCCACAAGAAGGTTGTTCTCCCGGCTATCCGTCGTTTGCAGAGTTCGCGGACTTCCTCAGTAAGGAAGCAAGAGTGGCGTGCGGCCCGGTATTGGACAGGTCCGACGAAGCTGGTGGAACAAGACGAACGACCAATGCTGGCCAACGCAGGAAGGAGAACGCGCGCACGTTCTTCTCGTCCGTTTCGTCCGATGGGAGGACATCAGCACCACGTCAAGAGTCAGATAATGCACGACAGACAGACAGAACTGCCAGACTCTGCAGGATCTGTTCGTCACTGCATCCTGTAGAATCCTGCCAGACATTCAAGAACATGTCAGTGTCCGAGCGACATGACGCTGTAACACGACTTGGGCTGTGCAGAGGGTGTTTGTGCAGAGGGCACATCTGGAGAGACTGCCGAAGTCGGCGAAGCTGTGACAGATGTGGACGCTCTCATCCGACGTTGCTTCATGACGACGCAAGGGCAGGAACGCGAGGCGCGTCGACAGGACAGAGGACAGCAGCAGCAGTAGGTGACAACAGAAGACAATACAAGTCACACACGAACAGATGTACTCAGACCCAAGCTACGTCCCTGAAGGTTGCGGTTGAAGGTGAAGGAGCTGAACGCAACGCCTCGTTCGTGCCACCATGCTCTCACACCATGATCGTGCCGGTCATTCTGCGCAACGAGCTGGAACCGTCACAACAGCTGACAGTCTATGCTGTGCTAGATCCTCAATCGGATGCCTGTTTCATTCAAGAATCAACGCTCAGACAGGTCTCTGGACAAGGAGAAGACGTGACTCTTCAGCTCAGCACCATAGCGGGCAAGACCAGAGTTGTGACCAAGAGAGTGACAAACCTGTCAGTTCAGGGACTGAATGCACCGGAGCGTATCATGCTACCTGCGACGTATTCTCGTGATGAGATACCGGCAGAAAGGTGGCTGATACCGGAGCGAGAAACAGCTCGAAACTGGAGGCATCTGGCTCATCTGGAGGAAGAACTGCCCCCATACTTCCCTGAAGCTGAAATTGGCCTGCTCATAGGCGTGAACTGCGCACGCGCATTGAAGCCGAAAGAGGTGGTTTCAGTTGACAGTGACGATCCCTGGGCAATGAGAACGGAGCTGGGGTGGACCATCGTGGGTATTACGCACGGGCCCAACATCACTTCGACGTGTCACTGTGCGCGCGTAGGGCCAGATGAAGTGTCGGTATGCCACTTTGCGTTCAAGACGCGTGTGCAGGAAGTGAGCCCGATGCAAGTGGCACGCATGCTGGAAGCGGACTTTCTGGATGAAGGCGCTCACAAGAAGGTCTCTCAGGACGACCGGAAGTTCCAGAAGGTGATGAAGGAACAGTTCCACCAGCGGGAGGATGGTCATGTTGAGGGACCACTGCCTCTGAAGGATCCAGAAGTGACATTTCCAGACAACAGGTACCTGGCCATAAAACGTCTACACAGTCTGAAGAGAAGGTTTGCCCGAGATCCTGGTCTGAAGGACGCCTACGAGGACTCCATGAACGAGTCGCTCGCAGCAGGATACACTGAATGTGTCCCAGACGACGACGACGTCAAAGAGGGAAAGACCTGGTACGTTCCCCATCACGCTGTCGTTCATCCGAGAAAGGACAAGATACGTGTAGTTTATGACTGCAGCGCGGAATATCAAGGTGCTTCATTGAACAACGAGCTGCTCCAGGGCCCGGACTACGTGAACAGTCTGGCAGGAATCCTGGTGAGATTTCGGAAAGAAAGAGTGGCTCTGAGCTGCGACATCAAGGCGATGTTTAACCAGGTTGGTGTCAGCAAGGAGCACAGGAATCTGTTGAGATTTCTGTGGTGGGAACAGGGCGACACGAGTCGAGAGCCGGCTGAGTTCAGGGTCACCACTCATCTGTTTGGTGCGGTGTCATCGCCTGCGTGCGCGATGTACGCGCTGAACATGATAGCAGAAAAGTATGAACCGACACACGGAAGAGAAGCGTCCGAGTTTGTACGTAGAAACTTCTACGTTGATGACGGCGTCACAAGCGTGGAAAGCTCGGATGCTGCTATACGGCTGGCCCGTGACACTGTCCAGCTGTGTGCAGAAGGCGGTTTCACGCTTCACAAGTTTGTGTCGAACGAACCGTCTGTGCTAAAAGCACTGTCGCCTGGTGCCACTGGGTGCGACCCATCGGTGGAAGTCGGTCGCCAGCACTCAGGTCAGTTCGAGCAAGCCCTGGGTATCAAGTGGGATACGGTGGAAGACACGCTGAGCTTTCACGCTGTGATTCCGGACAAGCCGATGACGAGAAGAGGGATTTTATCATCAGTTTCTTCGCTGTATGATCCACTGGGTCTCGTCTCCCCAGTGATCTTGGAGGGCAAGAGAATCATCAAGCAGTTGTGCTGCGACGGATACAGCTGGGATGAAGCTGTCCCAGAAGAGACGGTGGCCCGTTGGTTGGATTGGAAGAGAGACGTGCTCCTTCTCTCAGAGACACCGATACCAAGATGCTACAAACCTGGCGGCGGCAAGATGAAGCTGTACGAACTGCATCATTTTTCTGACGCCAGTACCGTCGGATACGGGCAGTGCTCCTATCTCCGTATGAAAGACGAACACGACCTGATTTCGACGTGTCTTGTGATGAGCAAGTCAAAGGTGACTCCCAAGCGATCGACTACAATTCCTCGACTGGAGCTGATGGCGGCCGCTCTCTCCGTGAGAGTTGGATGCTTTCTGCAAGAGGAGCTCGACATCACAGGCATCGAGCACTACTACTGGACGGACAGTCAGGTCGTTCTAGGATATATACACAACGAAACCCGGCGATTTCACGTGTTTGTCGCGAACCGCGTGCAGCAGATCCGACAACACACCACTCCCGATCAGTGGAGATATGTACAGTCAGATGAAAACCCAGCAGATCTGGCCTCCCGTGGACTGCAGGCAGCGGCCATCAAGGACTGTGATCTCTGGTGGCGTGGACCGAAGTTTCTTCAAGCAGGAGAACTTCCGAATGAAGCAGCTCAGACTGAACTCCAAGATGACGACCCGGAGGTCAAGAAGAAAACAGTTCTGACTACGCGCTCCAAACAGGTCGAAGGCTTTCCAAACATGTCTGACCGGCTAGTCGTGTTCTCTAGCTGGTTCAGGGCAAGACGAGCGATCGCGATCTGTATCAGATACGGGAGACGTTTGCTGGAGCGAGTGAGACAAAAACGTCAAAGCAGTGACGCTGAACTTGTTCCATCGTTGACAGAATCACCAGTTGGAGCAGAAGAGATGAAGAGAGCTGAGCTCGTCATACTGAAGAGTGTGCAGCAGCAGGTGTTTGGGGACGAAGTTGCGACTCTGACGATACCTCAGCCCTCAACTGAAGTTCGAGTGAAGAAACGGAGTCATCTGTACCGACTGGATCCCTTCGTTGCAGATGACGGACTCCTGCGCGTCGGAGGCAGGCTGAAGAGGAGTGGACAGCCCTTCGACGTGGTACATCCAGTGATCTTGCCAAAGGTTCATCACGTGACTCGTCTTGTCGTTGCAGCCTACCACGAGAGGACGTGTCACTCAGGAAGGGAGCTGACGCTGAGCGAAATCCGGATGTCTGGATACTGGATTGTGAAAGGAAGATCGGCTGTGGGTCGTCACATCAAGAACTGCATCAAGTGCAGGAGGCTGAGAGGAACGCCTTGCAGTCAGAAAATGGCAGATCTTCCCAGCGAGCGTGTAGACGAAGCGGAGCCATTCACCCACTCAGGTGTTGACTGCTTCGGACCGTTCTTCGTCAGAGAACGGCGCAGTGAAGTCAAACGATGGGGGATCCTATTCACATGTCTAAGTTCACGGGCTATTCATCTAGAGACCCTCAACTCAATGACGGCGGATGCTTTTATCAATGCCTACCGCCGATTCACCTGCCGAAGAGGAAAGGTTCGAGCTCTGTATCACGACCGAGGTACGAACTTCATCGGAGGAAGAGGACATCTAGAAGCTGCTTTGTCTGAGATGGACCACGACAACATCCGACGCACTCTGTTAAAGGACAACTGTGATTGGGTACAGTTCAACCCCATCACACCCAAGGCCAGCCACATGGGAGGTGCGTGGGAGCGGCAGATACGCACCGTCCGCTCTGCGCTGAGCAGTCTCCTTCAAGATCTCGGTCAGCAGCTGGATGACGAGCTGCTCAGAACTCTACTGACGGAAGCGGAAGCAGTAGTCAATAGTCGCCCTCTCTCTTGTGTCAGTATGAATGACACTAGTGTAGTTGAGCCGATCACTCCCGACCAGCTGCTCACCTTAAAGTCAAAGGTAGTGCTCCCTCTCCCTGGGAAGTTCTGCCGGCCTGACATCTACGGGAGACAGCGCTGGCGCCGGGTCCAGTACCTCGCCAATCAGTTTTGGCAGCGCTGGCGGAGAGAGTTCCTTCCGTCTCTCCAGGAGCGACGAAAGTGGCATCATCCAGAGCCGAACATCAGTCAGGACGACATCGTCATTGTCGTCGACGAGGACACTCCACGCAACAGGTGGCCGCTCGCACGAGTGGTCGACGCGCACACAGGTGCCGACGGTCTAGTGAGGAGTGTGCGTGTGCGCATTGGCAACAGTGAATATGACAGACCCGTCCACAAACTGATTCTCCTCGTGAAGAGCGGGGATGGAGATTCCGCGACGGGGAGCCGTTGTGCTGAGTAGCGTGATTTGGTCGGAGCGCGACCGATGAGACCGAGACGCTTGTGAGCGCTGATACCCGGTCTGAACTTTGGTGCATTGTGCTCCGCTGTGCGGATGGCAGTACGACGGCGCCCGTGTTTCATATTGCTATGTCAGAAGTGATATTTCGTTACTTTCTCGCTCGACGTGTACGGCGTTACGTGGGCTCGCCTGTGTCTACTGACGAGCATGCGGTTGTTCGCGCGTCCCGTCGCAATGTGACGTTGCCGCGCGACGGCGGCCCATAGCCGCCTCAGTGCGTAAGGAAAATTAGGAGAGCTGTGCCTAATTTTGGGGAGCCATGTTCCCGCCGTTACGGGTTGTTCAGGTTTTGTTATGGAAGAGCCTGAGTGAGGGCTGCTTTGTCTAAACGACTGCATTTGCTATTTTCAGGTGACCGCCCCAGACGATTTGTCATGATATGTGACGCATGTTGAACGGCATCAGAGCTGTCCTGATCGGGGCGCAGTGAAATACGGTTTGCTGAACAGTGATTGCCACTTGGACCGATACTGAAGCCGAAATATTATTGCCGGTTATACTGACGGTGCAGTTGGCTGTATCACCATACTGAGTCACTGACATTTGTACTAAAGTCGCCTATCGTCCCGGACGAAGTGAGTAGCCATACACTGACACAAATCGTGTAATGCTTATTCGCTCTGTTATAAATGCATATTCGTTTGTCTCACAGTGCCAGCTGGCTACCTATCTGAAATTGTCTCTTGCGGACTGATTAAGAAATAATTTTCGTTGTTAAATTGTCAGTTTATTGGGTATTTGCAGCTCACGTGTTGTTGTGGCTGTTCCCCCCAGTGACCTTGGGCGAATCGTAAGCTACATTGAGTTAATTGTCTTTTGTATGTGTTTTCACAGTTTTCTACGGTCATCACGGTCCACACTGATCGCTGCAAGGTGTCACTACTGAATGATCCCAATACATACTGACCGACTAACACTTTGTAGTAAAAACCGGTGGCCAGATCAATTAGACATCATTAAATTTATGTTCAGCTTAAAAAACAACATTGCTTTTAACCATTTGTCATTGGAATACCTTACCCTTCCATTGAGGCCATGTTGATTCCTGAGGTTGCAATAATACTTCTCATTATGTCAGCTTTGTCAAATTGGTCATCAGTTTTTGATAATTCATTCACCAATATTGCTCTGATCTCCATCCAATCTTCAGCTTCCATGACATTCAGCTTTGTATTCCTGTTCTGTAAAAAAGAGCATTTTGTTGATAAGATAAATTGTCAATGGTGATCAAGGCAAGACTGCAAAGGCAGGAAGATACATTTGGAACTTGGAAGGCAACAGTAATCTACCAGTATGAGTAAGGTAGGCATTTAACTCAATGATTGTAGGTGTTAGATAGGTGCAAGGTTAATAAGTAACATGACGTGGCATCAGCATACCTTGCTGGCAGATAACTGCCAACTGCAGGTAATCTTCCAGCAAGTCTGTCTCTGACTCTCTATGCATGTATCTATGCATGTCATGACTCATGCAAGTCTCTAAGTCTCTATGCATGTCAGTCAGCCAGTTTCCAGGAAAAGAAATAGAAAAAGCATAACCTGATGAGTGAAATGAACCAATTTGAATTTCATACTTTTCAAAAAAAAAATCACATTGTTGATTGTAATACAAAAATGACAGTGCATTGGCAAATACCTATACCTACTGTGAAATTGTCCTGCACCATAGCCCAGCAGGGTTGGAATTTCACTTTTTTGTTCTGGTAGTGGAGTACAAAAATTTTGGGCCAGTGGAGTACAACTGTACAGCGTTGGGGTGGTCAACTGCGTCTGCATAGTGTTTTTTGTGCAGTGTTTTTCTTTGTACTTATGTATGTAGAATTGTAAGCATGTGAATAAACAATACAGTGTGGAAAACAATGTTTATCGAGTGACGCAGCAAGACGATCGACTAGAACTTTTTTGTTGAGAGTGGCAAGCATTATGTGATTGTGTAATTGAGTGGTTAGTGGTCATAGCAAGGATTAGGTTAGCAGCTAGAAGTAGGGACGAGTCGATCCAAAAATTGGTGCTCTCGTATGCACCAGGAAGCACTACTTAGTCATGCAATATTATGTAATGCAAGCTATAACTGAAAGCAAGATTATCTGAATTTGTTAGACTTCAACTTATGTATAGGACTTCACTTTGTTGGATCATGCCTATGATTTAAAATAAGAATGAATATTCAGGGTCAGAGAAATGATAGTACCTAGATCAGCAAAGACAATTGGGAGGTTAATGATAGTGATATTGACTCCACTCCAGGTAACAGTCATGAGTCAAATTATCAATTAATCATCATACTCCTATTTACTATCATGAAAGGAACCAGACCAAAACCAAAGTGGAACGTTCACTTACCGCACGGCCACGCACGGCTAATGCCCACTGCCCGTATGCTTGATTACAATTATAAAAGACAAAACCTGTTAGGTTGTTTTTACAACTATACTCATAGCATGGAAAACAGGCAACACGGTCAGGTTTATGCCGTTGTGAACCCGGCTAATGGAAAACAAACGAAAATATACAGCCAGCTTCGAAAATTTGGAAAACGCCGCGGCACAAATATCGGCGCGGCGAAATAAAGCGGCCCGTAGAGTTGGCACAGCACACACCACGGAGTCGCGACTACGCTGCGGCGACAGGATCCGGAGACAGAGGTCGGAGTACAGCCTTTGAACACCAATTTCACAATAACCATAGGTCATCTGGCCAAAAACTGCCTACCATCAGAAAGCAGGCTCAATTTTGTATCTGTCATAGCCGGGCCATGAGAAACGGAGCTGTGTGGAGCATACAATTGGCAAAGGAGTACAGGGTCTGCACTTCAAGTTTTATCATCGAGTTTCCAGTTCAGAATATTTCCAATATTAACAGTGACGGCGTTTCATTTGAGAAAAGTTGGTCATTTTTTGAAAGGTTGTATTTTTCTCCTTTTTTTAAACCCCAAACAATCATTATTTGAGCATAAGTTACGATGCAAGTGTCGAAAGATTCCAAGTCGTCTCCCGATCAAAAACCATTTAAAATTCCATCCTTAGGAGAACTGAATCGCGACTCCACAGAAGCTGTGCACAACTTGAACATCTCTAACAAAAAGACAATCATTGCGCACTTATTTGTGCGATTTGTGCTGTGGTAGGTAGCGGCATGTGTAAGCGTATACCTTGCGACGTATATTCATTCATTTTGTGGCCGGCTTGTGAGTTTTACTTGTAATATCCCATGTTTCATTTTAATTGCATGACAATGATGAAGGTTACAGCTAAATTATTAACCTCATTCGCAGCTGGCAGATACTTGTCTAGCTTGATAAAATTAATGTGTTAATCAAGGTGTCTGCTTCCTTGATATCCCTATGATCGATCCTTATTACGATAGGTACACATGCAGCTTTTAGTCCAGACCAAGGCCCTATATACTGTCCAGACCAATAGGTACTCCATGGCGTTTTTGATAACTTTGTACCCCATTATCATCATGGATTTGGACTTGGCACAAATGCAAGTCATTCTAAGTTATTAAGCTCACAAAATACAACATTTTACATGTATGTTTATTTCATGTACGTTGTCTACAGGACCACGTAAGCACATAATTTGTTGAGCATAACACAGCAATGTACCAGTACAAGTATCAGTCCTGGTAGTTGTTCATCACGGCTGGTGGATGTTATGCAGGATATTTGGCTCTTCGATCCTCATTTTGCTGTGCATTGTACTTGTAGTTTTTGCCCTGACTTGGGTTGGGCCCCTGGGCTGGGATGCAGTTATTGCAGAAGCTGTGTTTCCACTGGGTACCTGTAACACAAGGGAGTATGGACAGTTCATTGTCAAATTTCACACCCTTTTATTTGTGTGGGACGCGTAGTCATTGGAGTACAAAAATTGTCATTTTCCAGTGGAGTACAAAATTCCTGGCGCATCTGATACCAGAAAACGGCAACTTTTCCAACACTGTAGCCCAGGGCGCATTTCGGTCTAGGGGTAGGTGATAGGTCCATGCCTTTAGATTCAGCCATCCTGGTTCAATTCCCGAAAAATGCACATCACACGTGGGACGTGGCAATGCCGCTATACCTACCTTGCTGCTCAGAACAGGGCGAGTTCTGGTAGACTGGTTCCAGTTAGCATCTGCACTTGATCCACTGGATATGGTGCTTAACCCAAAACTAACCAACCAACCACCCTAGGCTAAAAACTGAACAAAAACCATCATATATTTACTTAGTCACAAACTATGCGTCGATATCAACCTAGAAAATTGGGTATTAGTACCTATATATTAGGTCCGAGTGGACAATTGTGATGCTGTTGATACAAATATGTAACAGCAAAAAATTCAGGTTTTAGGTTAGGTTAGGTTGAAGGTTTGTAGGTTTTAGGTTTTAGGTTGGTAGGTTTGTAGGTTTTAGGTTGTAGGTTTGTAGGTTGTAGGTTGTAGGTTGTAGGGAAATAGGTAAGGTTAGGTGAGGTTTGATTATGTTTTTCTTTTATTTCCAAGAAATATAAGTATCATTTTTGGATTCAGGATGTCAAATAATGTAAGAATATGAAAACTTTATCTTTTAACAGTCACTCGGACTTCATGTTTTACCGAAAATTGTTGAAGATCAAGTTGAAGTCATGCCCCCCCCCCCCCCTATCACTATAGGTTGTCAGTTGTCACACGTTTAGGGCCTTGGTCCAAGGCTATATAAACCAGGTAGAACGCTCCCGAAGAAAAAGTGGTGACAAGCAATATTTAGTTGCCGCGACCCTCACTTGTTCAAGACTATATCCGCAAGCAGCATTTACAAGCTAGCGGAAATCGACCAATCGGCGTTCGGCAATACTCGACGCTGATTGGCCCGATGCTCGTGACGAAATTGCGGGGGACTGCAGCTATTCCCCTATGGCGTTTCATTGACTTATGACTTTTGAAGGGGATTTGTATAAGTTTTTGTTGGGTTTGAGGCCATTTTTGAGCTTGGATATTCTTTCCGTGACCTTTGACTATATAATAACGACATTTAATCATGACATTTCTATATACTACCGGTGTACATCGGCCAAAAAGACCGTAAGTACATGGGATAGACGGACAACTGCTGATGGGGCCACACATGCCGGAGTGTGGTCATCGGAGGCCCATGAGGGCTCGATATGGGCCCTTTATGGGCCGGTATAGGCCCAATGGGTCCAGTGCAGGCCTACCAGGGGCCGGTGGCATATAATGTAAGGCTGTCTAGGGACGTTGAGGGCTCGTGGGGGCCATATAGGACCATTAGGGACCACATCCCAGCCAACAATAATATGCGGGGCCCACGCTGGCAAACCTCGGGCAAGCCCACAGAAACACCTTGGGCTAGCCCAACCTCTAAGTACGTTTCTGCTCGGCGTATGACACAAAAACGCCAACCAAAAACGTACTTCAGCCACCACGGGGCCCTAGCTGGCATGCCCGCATTCAGCCCACGTTCTGACGCACTGTGTGGGCTATGCCCGCGTTGCGCCATGCCACTTCAAGCCACCGCAAGTGTGGCCCCACGCGGGCTCTCGCGTCTCAATTGCGCGGGCTGCCCGCATTGCGCCCGCCATCCACCGACGTGTGCGGGCTAAGGTGGGTTATGCCCGCGCTGCACCTTGCTCTTTTGAGCCACCGCAGGTGTGGCCCCATGCGGGCACCGGCAGCCGGGTAACGCGGGCTGCCCATGCTCAGCCCTAGTAGCGTCAACCTTCGTACCGCATTGAATAACTGTGGGCCCAATGTGGCAGAGCCCGCATTTTTGTGCGGGCATGCCCGGATGTTGCCCTTATTGCCTATAGGAATTCATAATGGCTCTCAACTGTGGCCCCATGCGGGCATGCCCACGTGGGCTAGCCCACCCTAAAACGTACCGGGCCCCATATGGGCTGCACGTCGCTAAGCCCAACCTGGCAGTGGCGGTTCCAGCCACCTCCCCCCCCCCCCACCCCCGATCAGTGGCGGTCGTTTGACCGCGAGCTTGCGCCTCGAATCATTTGCTCAAACAGTTCGTTCTGACATTGTAATGTATTGCTCAACACTTGACTATACGTATATACACCGCCGCGCTGGTATCCTCCATCTACCATTGCTCCATGGGGAGTTCAGCCTCTTCGGCTTCAGCCTCTTCGGCTTCAGCCTCTTCGGCTTCAGCCTGGCGGGTTTCGAAGTCAGGCTGCCGGACCTCCAGCGTCTCGAGGTTCTCCACCGGCTGCAGTGGAGGTCGGTCGGTCGGGGCCTGGCCTGCCACTGACGGGCCAGCTGCCTCCTTGGTTTTTGAGAGCCTTCGGAGACGTTTGCCGTTCCGATCCCGGCTGCCGGAGAGCCAGAGGCCCACGCACCTCCCGACGGCGTCTCGGTTGGCGCCACCGCAGCGTCTCAGTGTCTCTGCCAGAAAAGCCACCCAAACTGCGTCATTATTTTGTGTGAACAAGGGAGGGATATGGGAGGGTGTACAAAGCACACCGATACATCAGAAAAGAATATACTGCATTTAAGAGACACGTGAAAAAAGAAAAAAAGCGCTCCGATGAATGGCAAACGAAAAGCAAAACATCGATAGCAAAAGCAAACATGCACGCAAATACACGCACACACAAGCATCACTCACCGCAGATAACGTCGAAGAGGACGGTTTCCGCTATAGCCCTCTTCCCATTCTTCCCTTTCAGGGAAAGGTGCTCGGACAGATCGGCCGACACAGTGCCGCGCATTACAGAACGGACGTTCCGCTCCAGGTCCGATCGGGCCATGGTGCAACACGCGCTGAGTTGCTCCACCTGGAAATGAACGCCAAATGATTAAGAAGTAAAATAACGCATTGGCAAAAACCCGTGACCTGATTCACGATCGAGTTATACCCCTACCGTGCCCCTATAATTTTTTTACGCGATTCACGTGATGATAGCTTGCCAGGTGAATTCTAAAATTTTGTTTTATCCAGGGAATAAATCATGGGCCAATCTGAGAAAACTTTTTGAAGGTGGTAGTCTTCCTTTAAGGGCACGTTTACTCCGGAATCATGTTGCTATAAATATTGACTTTTCCCCAAAATGGAACACTACAGCACTACTAAAAAAGGTATAAAATACTTACCACCTCGTTAAAGAAGGCCCTCTGCGAGTGCAGCTGCTTGTCCAGCTCATCCAGCTCCGCAAGGGTTTGGAGTGGCGCCATCCTCCGGGGTCTTGTCTGGGAATTGGAGATCTCCGCCCGCAGCGCTTCGATGTTGGCTCCGTTCTGTTTGACGACGTTTAGTATGCCTTCGACCGTCTTCAATATCTTCCCCAGAATGACAGTTTGACGAGCATCTAAAAGGAAAGTCACGATAAACTGAGCAGCACAAACGACCAGACTGGAGTTTTGGTCTTATATGTTATCTATGATCTTATCGATAATAAAAGTAGGCAAACAAATATCATTAAAAAATTACTACCAGTACAATACATACAACTATTCATTGTTTTTGGTACATGCTTAAAATTATTGTTGCACTATTTCCGGGATCAGTTATGTCGCAGGTTCTTTTACAATGCATGCAGGTGTACGTACCTGACGGCTGTCTGGGAGCACTCGTTGGCGTACTCGCTGGAACGCTGGCGGTCTGGACACTTGGTGATGAATTCGCAGGCCTACTCAGGGAAGTGCCTTGCCCCCCAGAACCTGTGAATGAATAACGAAAATAATAACAGTTTATTGTAAATTCCATCAGTGATGCCAACAAAACTACATTCAATCTGGAGCCAGACGTGAGTTAAGGTCAGGCTTACATTAGATCCCAAATTAAAAATATTGAAAGCTTATAGCACGCGAACCTGACCAGCTATTCGATGACGCAGAAACACATTACGCACTAACAACAACCGAGGCAACCACACTGCTCTCTTTCTCCTGATTGCAAAAGTCAAGTAGTCTTTCGATGTTGAAATATATGCTTACCGTCTAAGCCAAAGGTTCGTGGAGCGGGTGGTGGACGAGAAAGTCCAGTTGGCTCCCTTCGAGCACGGGTTCCGGTTTCTTCATCTGAATCGTCATCAAAACGTGGATTCCTCCTGTAAAAGTCACATTGAACATGAATGTCAGTAAAATAGGGGAATCATTTTAACACTACCCACTGCCAGTACCCCCCCCCCCACACACACACACACACAGCTATACACAATCAAGTTTATCTGTTGTCTGCCTTATCACAGCTATAAAGCAAAATGCTCGAAGGTACGAAATGAATCCGCCCGAGGGCACGGCATAAGTATGCTCTTGATAACCAGGGAAAAACGCCACCTTCGTTCTTTAATATGCCATTTCAATTGCCATTCACTGGTGTCATTCCTGGATTTTACCTCCTTATACGGGTAGTTGCTTCGACAGCTTCAGCCTCGCTGGTGAGATCGCTCTCCTCTTCGGCCTTCTGCGCCTTCCTTCTTGCCAGAAGTAAATCATCTGCAAATTATTTGTGTATCGTTAATACAAAACTCAATGCGGTGAACTTGTGGAAAGCATTTGATAACTTTGCGTGGTTGGACAACGTAAATGTAAGACAACAAATGCACTTGCGTTAGACAGCCAAAAAATGATTTCATTAAAGCCGACCTGGTTGTGTCTCACACTTCGCTCGTATTCCAATATTCAACCATGTTGCGAGAAATCCCAAACCAGCATTTGGCGAGATGCAATCAAGTGTTCGGAAAGGGATATTTTCAACTTTGCCATGTGGAAAATTGCTTCTAACGATAATCACTAACCTGTAGCGAACAGTGAAGTTGCCGGGTGCCTGGTCCACTGCCCGGTCCCCGTTCTGACAGGCTCCGCGTGAGCCTTCAGGAGGCGGTCGACGGCCCCACTCGTCTTGCAAGGGGGCCAGAATACGAAGCCTCGCGGTTTTCGAGTCGCCTCATCTTCTTCACCTGACCACCATTTCTTACTAACGACGGCTACTTCGGGCGCGTCGGAAAACGCGACGACCCGAAACATGTTACACCTAAACGAAGGGATTGGAACATAACATTTTACAGTGTCACTCAATGGCACTGCAGGAACTCTTATAGGTCAGCGTGTTCCATCAAGGACATACACCATCAGATACTCACAGCACATACCATGATCACACACAGTGCTAAGTTGAGGCAGTATAATCAAAATGGTCATGGATGACTGGTACACACACATGATACGTGGCATCGAGACTACCGTTGGCTAGAACGCATTTCTGAACTACATTCATTGTGTCAATCGATACTGTTTCACAACACTGCGAGAGGGTGTGCACTTTGTAAATACCCAACTTTGATGAATCAAAAGGGTAAGTGTAGAATGGTTCGTGCGATCGGAAACGCTGTATGACGAGCACAGTATCGTCAGTAGTTTTCAGTATGTTTCGGATAAGTGCTACACAATTACCATTGACCAGAACACAGTTATCACCCACAGATGTCGACAGTGTCAGATTGCCTACAAGCTTATGGTACTGATTCTGGACACGAGCAGTGCCGTGTGGAACTGGACCATCCGCGTGTGCCTTTGTCAACCTGTGTGCTTTTTTCAGGACATGCCTACTGCCATACACATCCCTTTCAGCTATACGCTTCATTAGCTGGATGGCGGGGGAATTCGGGCGACGCACAGCTCGTTTGAGTTGGTACAAGTAGCTTTCATATGGAAAGC